TGTATGTGCAACGGTCTTGAGATGGGTTATCTTGTGTAGGTGCAATGTGCTGGCATAACCCAGAGGTCGCAACTGGGTACCCGATACCCGTACCCTACCCGATACCCGGCTACCCGTTTGCGATCCTGGTACGGCCGAGTACGGGTACGGGTAGGCCGTGAGTAACCGTTTGTCACTCATTTCGGGTAGCGTACGGGTTACCCGTACCCGGCCGGGTACGGGTACCCGTTTGCGACCCTGGTGCGGCCGGGTACGGGTAAGGAATCAAAACCCGTTTGCGACCTCTGGCGTAACCCACTCGCCCTTTCTCGTGAGCTCTTCAGCCTTGGCTGTAACTCACAGGATTGTTTCAATGGCCTGCCTTGACAATGGGGCCCTGGTGTCGCCTGGATTGTTCCCTTTCTTTAAGTCTCAAGGGTGATCTTGACCACACTTTACCGCGTTGGCCAATGCGGCTTGGTGAAGATATCTACCTGAATCCAGGCAGTTGCTCATAGTTAAACTGGATTCTCAAGTACAGTGAGAGGTGTTTTTCAGTCCCATTGAGTACATTGCTTTGTATTTTCGTTTAGCGTGGCATTTAATTCTCCAAGTCCAGAAAATTGGACTTTGTAAAACATGGGAGAGGACCGAAATGCAATAAACGGTGTTTATAGGTCGTGACGGAGGGCTGACTGGGGTGCCGTGGTGATGCGATGTTATCTCCCTCGTCTAGTATGGAGGAGGTTGTGGGTACGATCCCGACCCTGACGCCTGTATATTTGGAGTTTGCATGTTTTTTTACTTAAGAAGCCCTGGGAGTCAACGTTATTGACCCCTCTTACCCATCACCAGTGAATGAAAACTCAAGTAAACCTAAACTTTTTTTATTTCACAATGTCAGGCCCTCTGAGCTGTATAGCTCTTTTTCAGAAGCTACCTGGCCATAAATGGTAACTCAACGAAGTGGCTCATCACATGGAAATGCATAGCACCGGAGGACCCGGAGAAAAATCCTTGTGACCCCGGGGAGAGAGAAAGACACACAAACTCAAACCTGTCAACCCCTTATCAGTACCTACCTTATTACAGACCAATTCACACCTTATTAATCACCCCGTATAAATATTAATGTTCATCCTACAAAGTTCCATCACAAGGGAGAAACACAAACAAATAGACACAACAATACGGGTGAACCGTATGGGTTGACGGCAATGCATACTCCAAATATATATGCGCCAGGGTTGGGATCGAACCTACGACCTCCTAAATTTCGATTTAAAGCTTTCGTGACTGCAGGGATTCATCTTCTTGGTTCTTTCGGTAAAGTCACATAGAATGGAAATAATGAAATAATAAAAATAAAACAATAAAATAATTCTCACGGCGTTTCGGCCACAACGCAAGCAGCCGTCCTCAGGTGAAGAACAGGTCTGTCGATAAGACAGAGTCATTCAGAGTCATTCAGACGGCTGCTTGCGTTGTGGCCGAAACGTCGTGAGAATTATTTTATTATGTTTTATTTTTATTATTTTATTATTTCCATTCTACGTGACTTTACCGAAAGAACCAAGAAGACTACGACCTCCTGTATACCAAGGGAGGTAGTGAACATCTCGCCACCGTAGCCCCTTAATATCTGTACGATGTAGCATCCGTACCGTCGCAGGACGCTCATGAAATAGAGGCTAACATAAAAAAATTAAATGTATCCATCTATCTATGACCCCACAGAGATTACCTGCTATTGGATACATGGATTGCAACTGTAGGCATTGATGTGTATATATATTGAATTGTGCGAGTTTTTGAAAAGCTGGCAGGCTTACTGGACGTGGTAAATCGATACATGACAGTCGATACGAGCTCGTGCCCACATATGTTTTGTTACTTTTGTTGCAATACCTTGGTTATGTTTATCTCGCCATAGCGGAACGTAATCTGCCACCTATGAAGTAATAAAATGTTAATGTATATTTTTTCGTAAGTTATTCATTTGCGCTGGGTTGCATAACGTTAATGCAAGGTAACGCTGTAGAACATGAGCAGAGTTTCTGCAATCTCTTACATAATCGCGACAAGTGTGGTAATTGAACCTCTCCGACACTCCTCTCCCTGTAAGAATTTGGCTCCACACAATGTCTCCCCCATGGGTCTCACCGTCTCCACACCTCTCAACAATCACCTCTCAATGTCCACACCTCTCAACTCTCACGTGCTCGCAGTCCTCGGCACAGTTATCACCAGACATCGGACCCACCAATGCAATTTGATTAATTAGCAAGATTCAAGGGTCATGATTGATGTATTATTGGGTTTTTTTCGGGCTCATTTGTACACTCGTTTTTTTTACGTCCGTCTTGTTCGTTCTGCCTCGTTCTTTTGAAAATTTTACATGTCCATGCGATACGTACCCTAGTGTGCACAGATCGTAAATAATTGAGCCTTGCACGCGTGGTTTGATGCCTGTCTTGGGAGCCTTAAATAATTATTTTCCATCGATAAATCGTTACGTGTCTGGGTTATTGCTCAGTTTCAGAGTTTTTATGCTCCAGAATGACGGCAATCGAGCCGGGTGGCACCAGTGAGTTCGGACGAATGGAGTGCGGTCGAAAAAGCCGCCCGTTCAAATGTCTGGCTTCGGGTTCACCCTTCACCTCTCCGTGCTCAATAAAATGAGCACCACTTGGGGGAGAGTGAACGATGGTTGTGCTGTGGACCCCGCCATAGCAGTGTGGAATTTCACCCACTGGCGTAAACGCTTTGCGTGCTTTGCCTTCGATTAAATTGTGGATTGCACACTGATTCACCACCCCGTGGAGCAAACGCTGCGTGCCTGGACGCTGCAAAAACCCATGCTGGAATGCCCAACCTCACTGCTTTGCGTGGCTCCAAAATATCGCGATGTATTAACGGCATAGGCGAATCAGTTGTGCGTGGCGGTCACTCCTTAAGCCCAAATTTGAATGATCGCCACAGAACGCTAATAATAATAATCATATCTACCAGTTTCCCAGAATGACATCGCATTTTGACATCCTCTCAAGTGTTATAGAGCGCAGTGATAATTATTCACAAGGAGAGCAAACACATTTAATGATGAATACCCTTGCATGCATAATGCCATCTAGTTTGCAAGTCAAACGTGAAGACTTTAAGACATTTTCTTATGAACACAAATAATCGTATGCAAATTCAGCTGGCCAGGATTTGACCCCATAACACTTTGAGGATGATGAATGTTCACCTGTTCCGGAAAGTAAGATGTACCGGAAACATATCCCCAGTGTCAATAACGTTATGTAAGTCTGCTCACACACACACACGGCTACCAGATTATAAGACAAACCCCCCAACCTTTGCTTTAAAATACAGGAAAAATGTTATCATACGGAGAATACGGTAATTAAATGTATAAAGTACCAATCAAAAATAAAGTAACTTCAGCATTTGCTTTGGCTTACATGAGCCCTTGTATGGCCACTGTAATAACTCAGGCCACTGTTTAGCAGTCAACTCCTCCCGCACCTCCGATTAGCACAGTTGCCTTCGTACTGTGCGAAAGAAGTTCTACGTACATACGGACACGGTTTATCCACGAGTCGACGAAGACCACGTTAGTCTCGGGGGTTTTTGGACCACACGCTGGCCCCAAGTGTGGGGTTTTGGACCACACGCTGGGCCCAAGTGTGGGGTTTTTGGACCACACGTTTTGCTCCAAGTTTGGGGTTTGGGACCACACGCTGGCCCCAAGTGTGGGGTTTTGGACCACACGCTGGGCCCAAGTGTGGGGTTTTTGGACCACACGTTTTGCTCCAAGTTTGGGGTTTGGGACCACACGCTGGCCCCAGGTGTGGGGTTTTGGACCACACGCTGGGCCCAAGTGTGGGGTTTTTGGACCACACGTTTTGCTCCAAGTTTGGGGTTTGGGACCACACGCTGGCCCCAAGTGTGGGGTTTTGGACCACACGCTGGGCCCAAGTGTGGGGTTTTTGGACCACACGTTTTGCTCCAAGTTTGGGGTTTGGGACCACACGCTGGCCCCAAGTGTGGGGTTTTGGACCACACGCTGGGCCCAAGTGTGGGGTTTTTGGACCACACGTTTTGCTCCAAGTTTGGGGTTTGGGACCACACGCTGGCCCCAAGTGTGGGTTGGTGCAGGGAGCAGTGTCTTGGGACCAGTTCAGAAACTGATGTCAGCCTCGGCTTGGATTAGAGCTCAGGTCGTTGGGTGGCTAGCGCACTGCACCACCGCTCCCCGATAATCAACATTTGCTAAATGATAGATAGTACCGTGCTATAGTAATTCAGAAACTGTATATTGTTTATAATAATTATGAAGGAGTGGCTCAGCCCACCCTCACCCTCTTCCTCTGGGTCATCAATGACAGATAAGGAGGCAGAGGCAAAGGGGGGCAGGCACAGTGACGCTGCTGACTGGATCGGTGGTGCTGAGTGGCTGGATCGGTGATCCGATCCAGCTGCATTTTTTGTAAGTCCCGGTACACTTTCGCTGCTATGTTGCGATGTGACGTCGTCTATGCGCTGTGAGAATCGCAACAAAACGGACGGGCAGCTGATAAACTACGCAGAAAATATATGTTGTGTACATGAATTCCGCGGTTGGCAAGTCCGCAGTGGGCGAGAGATGGCTGTGCTGTAAAAAAATAAAAAAAATATTTTTTATTTTAAAAAATGTCATTTAAAAAAATTGTGGTACAAGTGCTTAACTGTGCTTATTATTTAGGTCACATGTTGCTTGCGTCCACAATTCGCATCAATGCGTCGTGAGTGCCGAGGAGGTTCTCCATTTGAAACGGGCGACGGCCGACTCCACGGGCACCAATTGCGCTGCTTTCCGTTAAACATCTGTCCACGTGCACCACCAGGCTTTGCTGCGTCGCGCTTCATGAGCCCGGCATGGAGGGAGGTTGTTGTCGTAAGCAGCCACCAAGGGTGGCCGTGGTGTGTTGGGTTGTGTCGCATCAGAACGTGAGGCCTTGAGTCCCCTGCTCCAGGATGTGTACGGAGCCACGAAACGTTTCGGAGGGAGATCTTCCCGGCCTGGACTCAGACTCGCCCGGAATGGACTCCGATGTAGGCGATGGTGGAGGCGGTGCGGGCTCGGGGCTCGGTAATCGTGGAGAGCACACCACCACGTACGTCGCCACGCGCACCCCAACACGACACAGTCGGCGCGCTCGTCGCGCGAGCCGACGCGCGCGGGCCGTAGTTTGGCTGCACGGTAAGTCCTCGCTTGACGCGCGTTCGCGCAACTCTAACGCGGCTCTTCCATTTGGGAACACTTTTCACGCAACGTGTAACGAGCACCGTTATAACGCGCTATCTGAGCGGTCAACAACGAACTACTTTCGTGAGCTGTGCGGCTGAGCTGCATGATACAGTACGCAGAATGATACAGTTACGCGGCGGACGTACCCTCAGTTCTTTGTCCGCATGCGTAGTAGTATATCGTATTTCGCCAAACCTTATCGTTACATTATTTATGGGGGAAATTTTTTCGCTTCACGCGTTTTTCGCTTAATGCGGCACTTTTAAGGAATGCATCTACTGTGTTAAACGAGGACTGCGTTTGTGAGCCTGCCTGTTTGGCCTTCTGAGCGTCATCTCAAGCGAACTGCTCCCCCTGTCGGACCGAACGCTCGATTTGCTGCTGCAGAGTGCAGATCAGTCGATCAATGTTTATTTTACATACCAATATCTCCCTCAATAAAGTAGCCACCGGTGCACATTACAGCAGAACGGGAACGGTACCGGTGAATAGAGCTGCAGAATTGAATAAAGAAACTCATCACGCCCTCAGCGGCTAACACCGACAGCACTGTGCTCAACAGTAATGGTAAATTTCACCCAGCCTAGAGTACGCCGAATATTAAACTTTCAATCCATCGGCAATGAGCCAACAGGTTTAACGTTTTATTTCGCCTGCTTACAAACTCCCTGCTGTATTATAAAACATTTTGCCACGTGACAGGCAGATGTCTCGAGTGACCCCGCTACTCTGTGTGTCCGCTGGCCAGGTTTGCTCAGACGTTGCTGCACTTCCTCAAGGGGAATGTGGGAACTGGCCTCCTGGGCCTCCCACTCGCCGTGAAACACGCTGGGCTTGTGGTAAGGATTCACATCGTGCGCACGTGCGTGTGTGTGTGTGGCTAAAGCACAGCAAGTTGGCACAGTAGGGGGCACAGGTGGTGCATCAGCCAGTCATCTCGGTCATCTCAGTCAGTCGACCCGTGGCACCTGGGTTTGCCCCGTGACCTTCTGCCAGCGGGCGTTCGACACTTCACGTGGCCTCAAGGTGCACGTGGCCTGGCACAAGCGTCGTGGTGACGTCACCGCCACTTAGTGGCGAATGGCGGTTGTTGTATGTATGTGTGTCAGCGAGCCTTCGACACTTCACGTGGCCTCAAAGTGCACCTGGCCTGTCACTTAGTGGCGAATGGAGGGTTCGGTATGAGTGTATGCATTGGGAGCGGTAGTGTAACAGTTAGCGCGTTGCGCTACGAATCTGGCAACCCGAGTTCGATTCACGCGCATGGCGCACACCGGTGACCATTATCTGAACCGGTCCTGTGCTTCCCTGAGGTCGACTCGGCCTCAAATGAGTACCTGGTGCGATGTGTAAACGTCGCCACTAGGGGGACAAAGGCGGCCGGGCGTGGTGCTGGCCACCCACCCCCTCGTGTGCCGTTCCGGCCTTCATAGGTGCTCGCTAACAACACTTTCCCCAACAGTTTGTTAAGGCTATACGGGGGATCTTTGTCTTTGTGTATCCGTATGTATAGGTGGGACCCGTGTGCCTCGTGGTGATGGCGATTGTTGCTATCGACTGTATGCTGACCCTCGTGAGGTGTAGCCACTACCTGTGCAGAAAGTAAGCCGAGCATCATAAAACGATCCCACCCCCTTCTGGGCGTCTGCCAATCCCTGCAATGCATTAAGCGACAAAGCGGTCGTTTCGACCCTGACAGGCACAGAGAATGGCTCTCGTTCATTATCCCCTCGCCATGAATCCTGCTGCACACGATGGCCAGGAGAGCCGCAAACTTTGCAGCTATCAGCCGATCCGATGTGAATTTTTTTGATGATTGCTGAAGAGGAAATCAATCGCAGTTCACATTGCAGCCTCTACGGCGTCTTTAGAAATCGGGGTACTCATTCCGCATTGCTCCGTTAAAGGATCTGTGTGGGGTAGGGGCGGTCCTTTGAGTACACGATGCGTTCATCATGACAATGTAAACTCCAGTCATGTGACGTCACCAACATGTGAAGTTACCAGTGTGACGTTTACTTGAATTGTTACCTTTGTATGGGGAGCCCCCGTACCCTCCTCATCTGTGCAGCAACCCCACCCTCCACACCTTAGCCCAGTTCCGGATTAAGCTAGTGCGGGGCCTGTAGCATATGGTATAAAGAGGCCCTAAATAAATAAATAAAACACATACATATTAAAACACACATTTTTTACTTGCAGAGTAAAATAATTGTATTTTTTCATTTGCTACACAACCAGATAATACGACAAATCGCTAACCTTAAAACACACATTCGTTCATAAAAGGCAGTATAGTACTATAGTAATAGTGCAGAATCACTGAACAGGAATTGATAGCTTGAAAGCATCTAGCGCGGGGCCCTTGAAAGTGCGGGGCCTGTAGCATGTGCTACTTTTGCTACTAGATCCGGCACTGCCTTAGCCATATTGCCTTGAAAAAATGTGGTGTAGTGTGTGTGTGTGTGTCGTGATTGGTAATTGACCGGCGCGTCTGCATCGTCATTGTGTGTGTGCTCTAGGCTGAAGCGTTCAACCCTGTGTTATGGAGGCACTGTCATGCATGCTATGGAGGTCTCCAACTTCACCTGGCTAAATTCTAAAGCATCTTGGGGAAAGTAAGATGATTATAGTAATTCTTTTTCGTATTTTTGGTTCAAAGAATATAGAACTCTTGACTCGTAGCTTTCTAAAGCCTTGTGCATTAGTTGTGCATTCTACAGTGTTAATCAACAGACTGTGCACTTTGAAAACATGTTATTTGGTGAATATAGAACACGAATTATTATTATTCTAAAGCTCCTCATCTGCCTGTTATGTGACAAAAGTGTTTTGTGATACTGCTGAAAGTTTGTAAGACGTGCTCAAATTGAATGGTGTTAAACCCGTTGGCTCATTGCTAATGGATTTAAAGTTAAGTATTTGGCCTACTCTAGGCTGCGTACAATCTACCGTGCGAATTAATGTCGAGCATTGCTCTCGATGTCAGCCGCTCAGTGCGTGACAGGTTTCTTTATTCAATCCTATCGCTCACTGCCCCTGGTACTGTTCCCGTTCTGCTGTGATGTGCACTGAGACGCCTGCTTTATTGAGGGCGATATTGACACGTCAAATAAAGATCGGTTGATTGATGATTAATAAGTATAACCCGTAAAAACAAAGTTTTTCACTATAAATCCTTTATATGCGTGGCAGCGAACTTAATATAAAGGATTTAAAAATATATTCGCCTGTGGAGGACGCGGGGATCGATCCCGCGACCTTTGACATGGGAAGCGAGGGCGCTACCAACTGCGCTACTCCGCCACGGCCTGTGGAGGGGTTACGCTCTGGGCTCTTACACTGTGACGTTCAGCCAAAGCCATGAATGAGTTCTATTTGAATATATGTAAAATACATTTTTTTTGCCTAAAAAGTGTAAAATTTTGGGAATTTTTTTTCACGACCATTAATTGTCTCGCACAACGAGTCTGTGTGGAAAAATGTCAGCTCGATTGGATCACGGGAAGTGGGTTAAAAAACGACCGAAAGATTTGCACGGTCGTAAGCAAGCACGCAAGCAAGCACGCAAGCAAGCAAGCGAACTTAATATAAAGGATTTAAAAACCCCTTCGTTCCAACCCGACGCCGGGTGTTTGTGTCTCGACGGCAGGAACGTGATCAGCCTCTTTCTCATCACCACTCAGCTGGGCTTCTGCTGCGTTTATTTCGTCTTCATGGCGGACAACATCAAGCAGGTAGTCACTCGCGATCAGCCTAATCTTTTGTTTGTAGCGCAGGGCAATTAGGGACCTGGCCCGGCACTTAGAAAGGTTAAGGATGTTGCCCCACCTCGTCCATGCTCTGTTTGCCTCGGAGCTCTTTGTCGTGTTTTGTTTTGTATATCCGTGGTGTTTTTGTACCTTTTCTATAATGTGATTTTTTTGGAGGGGGATTTCAACTCTTTTCCGTTCCCTACGTACTGATGACGTACTTCATCACGTTTTCTTTCGATTTGCTTCACATACAAAAAAGTCTTTATTACCATCACATGATCATACCTGTCAACCCACTTATCAGTGCCCTACCTTATTACAGACCATTTCAGACCTTATTGGTCACCCCGTGCCCTTATAAAACTCAACGTTCATCCTACAAAGCCCGTATTGAAACGGCTGTACTCCATTTGGACCTGTAATCTCTGTTTCTCCGTACAAGAATACAGGTAAACCGTATGGGTTGACGGGTATGCATAATGCTTATCGTGAGCTTCATGCAAACCCTTTGTTTAATGAGATCTTCATAATAACAGCCTATAATGAGCATATTGTAGGTATGTGGTACCATACATATTCTGCCACATTTACCATGTATTCAACTCTTTCATTTCTGTCAACAAAGACGGTCACTGCATCGCGCGCTTTCAGATGCGCTTCTGCGGCCGTCTGGAACGCTCTTCTATTATTATGAAGCCACTGGAGCTATGCACTTTTGCATATAGTTTGAAAATTCATTTCTTGAGAATAGCTTGTTGTATTTAGTTTGTTGTCCTTCTTTCCGCGCCTTGGATTAGCACGGTTGGCTACGTACGGTGCGAAAGAAGCTCAGCATACCATAGGTGGTGTTTATTTGCTTGCTTGCTATTAACTGTGAAAATGTCAAAACGAAGATGACAAAATCATCTCTCCCTCCCCCATCGCGCCCCACCACCTCCGCCAGGTGGTGGAGCAGCGAAACAACGGCACCAGCGAGTCCGCGGGCAAGGAAGGCGCGCCGGGAGGCTTCGCGATGGACAAGCGCCTGTACATGCTGTGCCTGCTGCCCTTCATCATCTTGCTGTCGTTCGTGAAGAACCTGCGCTGGCTGGCTCCCTTCTCCGCCCTCGCCAACGTGTGCATGCTGACCAGCATCATCATTATCTACTACTACATGTCGACGGTACGCTTCTCTCTGGGGGCCCGGTAGCCTCCGCTGCCATGACGAGGGATGTGGCCGTCGTGCCTGGGGGGTGGAGGGGGGGGAGAAAGAGAAAGAAAAACAATTCATTATTTCTGATTTCCTGGTCGCTCGCCTGAAGGCGCTTGACGCAGTTCCGGGCGAAGTGTCGCGTATCTGAGCTCTGCGTTGGGCCGCGTGAGTTGTCCTTCAATTTACCCGCGAGATAAAACAACATCGTAATTGGCGAATCGGTAAAAACGCTTGTGCGCGTGACGATTTAATTTGTTTGGCTGTGGTCGGGCGGTGGAGGGGCTCCTGACACAAACTAAGCCGCGCCTCCGAATAGCGTGGTTGGCTACGTACGGTGCGAAAGAAGTTCAACACACATAAAAGTCTGGTTGTCACGTGGCCTAACCCAAACATTAACTACGATCATAATACTGGCTGTGGAAACCTACGTGTTTAAACATGTACCAATTCACTCTTCAGCAGGTTATTTAAAACATTATTTTATTTAATCATCCCTCAGAATAGTATCTTGTTGAGTGCACACTCGTGCCAAGTGGGAAGGGAGGGTTCGGGTTATGGCCGGTGTCCTCAAGGGAGCCTCAGTTCACGAGTGTGGTGAGTGTGGTGCATATGGTATAAGACGAAACTAACGTCTCGCATTAATAAAACAGTCCCTCCAGAAAAACGCAATTATGCGATCGCAAGATTCCACGCAAAATCAGCCAAAGTCCGCATATTTATGCGGGGGGCGCGTTTTTTCAAATACGCCGCACTTTCGCTGCATAAATTGCAGATTTCCGCGCGCAAAATATGCGGGCTTGCATGATTTCATAATCCCCGCATTTTCGTTGCAAAAAGTCACATATATCTTAGCAGAAAGTTGAAAAATGTTGCGTTTACTTCACACAAGCGCAGCCATTTCCCCTGTTGCCATGGGAACGTTATGAAGTGACGTCACTCATTACGCGATATCATTGAAAAGCTGCATACCCCGCGATGCCAATGAAACCATGATGAAGAGTTTATGCAACTTTACAGTTGTAAGATTGCACTTTTTTGTTAGTAGTATGTAAATTTACATTACTGTAAGACTGTACTGTTACTGTATTGCTTACGTTACTGTGCACTGAAAACACTTATTTTAACAGAAGATGTCTGTTTTGTATAGCTACCTCTGTAAAACAGGAAGCACACATTTTATTTTTTAATATTTTATTTATTCATTTTTACAGAAGTTGTAGCATATTCATTTTGTAAAGCTACAGAACTTGTTCGACTCAATGTTTTGTAAGTTTGAGCCATCTGTTTGTTAAGGTCTGAAATAAAACAAGATGAGAACTTAAATATTCCCAGCACTTTATGTGATGTAGTATGCTTGCTTATCATAGGAAGTAATAAGAAATGACTCTTTACATTAAAGTAGTAGCCTAGTGAATAGGGTGTTGGGGGAATCACTTTTTTTTCTCTTTTTCATCAAACCGCAATTTTTGCAAGTTCCCGCAATTTAATCGCATAAAATTGCATAAATATCCCGCATATTCCATCGCATTTTTTAAGAAAACGTGCCGCATAATCAACAAATTTTTGCCCGCAACAATCACCAAAAAACTCCGCGTTTTTCTGGAGGGACTGATTAAAGTGCCTGCCACCTATGAAAGTGCCTGTCACCACAGATGTCGTACTGGACATCTGCGAAAAAGAAGCTTTATAGCTCATCGGATTCCTCCAGCACAAATAAATATTCTGATTCTGAAAAGCCTCGCTAAGTCGCAAGATAATTTTTTAAGTAGGGTGGTATATGGTAAGAAAGATGAAGAAGAGTAGCTGGAGAAAACCCATTCATAGCGATATCATTCAAAGCTGACAGATTCAAAAATCCATTGCTGTAATCTCGTGGTCACCTCGCAGCCGAAGCCTGAATCTCTTGGTATTCGCTGGCAGTGTTCCGTCGCAAGTACCAACGGTGCCAAAAAAAATCCTGCTTAGCTTCGGAGATGTGACGAGTCTGCGAACATTCAGGCCGATCTGGTTTTAGGCACCCGCTTCGGAAGCCGATTCGTGGCGCTCGGCGGTGCAGCGTGTTGAACGGCGTGGTTGGTGTCTTTGTGATATGAACGGGTACATGGGTGAATGCCGGACACGCTGCTGCTGTTGCATTAACCGCGACGGCTCGTGCCGATCCCGCGTCTGGTCTTTACCACAGAACATTCCGACAACACTGGATGTCAAGTACGTGGGAGAAGCCAACGCTCTCCCCCTCTTCTTCGGAATGGCCATCTTTGCCTTTGAAGGCATCGGTGTGGTGAGTCTACGCATCGGACACTCCGGACGATGCATAGTCTGTGGAAACGTGGCAAGCCGTGTGTGTGTGGGAGCGAGCGAGTTGACCTCACCATTCCATCTCTGTGGTGGCTGTTTGTCTGGGCCGTGTTGTACCCCTTTAGCTTACATTCCATCATTGGTCTTGACCATCGGCCATCGTCCCTTTCTCGCGATGTCCTACCCCGAGCCCGCTAGCCGGCTTTTCTTAACTGTCATCGTGACGTCTCCCATTTATGTTTGTTGTTCGATTTTTGTTTGTTGTCCAATCCGTGTTTCCCCTTGGTCGTTCTCTCACTGTGATCTTCCGCCGTGTGTTTTGATCACTGACACGGCTGAGAAATGTAACTAATCGGGGAGATATCACGGCGTGAGCATCCAAATCTCTGATTGATCCCGTAACAGCCCGGGTAAAATCTGCGTGTGGCTCGCGATAGAAGGGTTCTCTTACTAACCCATTCGATGTTGGCTCGGCCTCGTCAGGCTGAGTGGGTACGGGAGCCCAGCTCACGACCAGGCCAGCACACTTCCCAGTGGTGGTGGAAACGTGACATGAATCTCCTGCTGGCATGATCCCTCACAACAGCGCCTTAGTGGTCCTCTGTGCTTGTTTTCTCGATAATTGTCTTTGTAAAATGGACATTTATTTGTAATTTTTAACATCGAGGTCAAATCTGATTGGTTGTTCCTGGGATGTCATGACACCCTATTGAAGAAGCCGGGTCGGATGACGTGGTTATCGGACTTCCTGATGTACGGCCAAAATACGCCTGGCACAGTTTCGAGCGAAACGTCGCGTACATAATTGCTACATTTGTTGTGAGAATCGTACCTCTGCCTACCGAAGAGCTGACGCAACAAAGATTGGCACGCTCAACGCTTGCACGCGTGACACTTTCATTTGTTTGGCTATGTCGGGTGGTGGAGGGTCTAGCGACATAAATCTGGCCAGATCGTTACGTGGCGTAACCCAAAATGTCAATTACGAATGGAATGTATTGGCTGCGAAAACCTACGCGTTAAATTGTTGCCTCCCTGTCGTGCTGCTGCAGGTGCTGCCGCTGGAGAACCGGATGCGAGACCCGGGCTCGTTCAAGCTGCTGCTCAGCATGGGAATGCTGGTGGTGACCTTGCTCTACCTGTCGCTTGGCACTCTGGGATACGTGTGCTTTGGTTCCAAAGTGATGCCCAGCGTGACCCTGAACCTGCCCATCTCCAATGGGTACTTTTATCTTGTTGTTGTTTTTCTTCTTCCAGGAAAGCCCTCCCAGAGTCTCAAGACTCTCTTTCAGAAGGCTCCTGCCCAGTTTTCGCAGCAGGGGGGGGCAATGTTGCTGCTGCTTGTAATCCCGGAAGTTGAGTAATTTGCAGGTAGTGTTTCAGCATTGGGATGTTTTGGCCAACATTGCTTTGTTTAGCCAGAGAACCCGGAAAAAAACCATGCAGAACAGTGTATGTGCGTATATTGAACTTATTTTGCGCCGTACGTAGCCATCCGTGCGAACCGGAGGTGCAGGGGAAGGACAACAAACTCAACACAAAAAGCAGTTCTTAAGAAATTAGTTTTCAACATAGATTTAAAAGTGCATAGCTCCAGTGGGAGAACACACAAACTCCACGTGGAAAGGTTCCCGAGTCGGGATTCAAACCCAGGCCCATCTTGCCGTGCGGCACAAGCGTTACCACTGCTTCTAGATTTGAAGCTTTCGTGACTGCAAGGATTCATACTCTTAGGTTTTTTCGGTTAAGTCACGTAGGTAAAAAATAATAAAATTAAAATTAATAAAAGTAATAATAAAAGTAAAATAATAATTTTCGATTTAAAGCTTTCGTGACTGCAGGGATTCATCTTCTTGTTTCTTTCGGTAAAGTCACGTAGAAGGGAAGTAATAAAATAATAAAAATAAAACATAATAAAACAATTCTCACGACGTTTCGGCTACAACGCAAGCAGCCGTCTTCAGGTGAAGAATGAGACACTACCAAACTAGGAGCTTATATATAAGCTGCATTGGGGGTTGAAGAGCGCCTTAACAAAAAGAATGTGCATGTGAAGAGGGATTTAGCATATTCATGGAAAATGCGTAGGCGTTGGGCGGGGGGGTGTCAAAGTCATATTATGCCCATGCATTATGCAGGATCAGCAGCAACCAAGGGGGGTGCAGGGATTAGCAGTAACAAAGGAAAGGAATGTTAATGATATGTAGCTGCAGTTACTCAACAACACGTAGAAAACTAAAGTATAAACTACATAAAAAACTAAAGTATAAACTGCATCGCACCATCAGTATACTTACTATACTCTATAATAAGCTGAGTTACTAACAGCAAGTAATACATTACAATTTTACCTCGTAAAAATTCTATAATATGCTTCCATCTAAACCTTATTCTCTTACATCACACGAGCATATACCGTACTATATACTGCCATAGATAAACCCAACATTAAATTATATACTGTATTGCTGTAAACCAACCTATATCTTATACATTTAATATCACACTATGTATTATTCTACACACCCTAATGTGTATCGAAATGGTTTATTACGTCCTTCCAATGATTGCTGAGCCAGAATCCATCTTCTCGGTTAAAGTTGTCTCTGTGTTTGTATATGTGGATCGCCTCATGAACGAATCTCTCATGATAGCCAGATGGCTTGCAGAGAACCTCTGTCTTGGAGAAGTCAATATGATGTGAGCCCACTGAGTTGTAACAGTGATCTGCCACGGCTGAGGTGTTAGTCCTACCGTGTTTCAGGTCAGCTTTATGTTCACGGATGCGGTCCGAGACATGTCGTTTGGTTTCCCCAATGTAACTGCTACCACAGAGGCAACTTAGTTTGTAGACGCCAGGGTACTGTATGTCTGGAACCACATCTTTTACAGACGGTACCAGATCACGGATTTTATGTACTGTGTTGAATCGGACCTGGATCTTGTGTTTAATCAGGATTTTGGAGATCTTTTTTGTGACCCCAGCAATGTAGGGTAAGGTGATGGTCTTGAAAGGCTCCTCAACAGGATCCTTCTTGATGGTTGGAGTGATGGCTTTGCGGATTGTATAGTCGGAGTAACCATTTGCCTTAAGAGCTTGGCGTACGTGTTTGAGTTCACTGGAAATGTGTTCATGGTCGGAGATGCATTGGGCTCTATGATATAGAGTCTTGATGAGGGAATTCTTCTGAGATGGATGGTGGTGGGAATCCGGTTTTAGATAAGCATCCGTGTGGGTGGCTTTCCTGTAGACAGAGTGGCTCATTGAACCATCAGGTCTCCTTTTGATTAGGACATCCAAAAAGGGTAGCTTGCCATCATTTTCGACTTCCATGGTGAATCTGATGGCTGGGTGTATGGAATTGATGTGGTCGAGAAATTGGTCTAGAGCAGGCCGGCCATGTGGCCAGATGACAAAAGTGTCGTCTACGTACCTCTTCCATAAGGTCGGGCGTAGAGTGGCAGTCTGGATGGCGTCCGTCTCAAATTTCTCCATGAAGATGTTGGCTACAACCGGAGATAGGGGGGAGCCCATTGGGGTGCCCTCAATTTGCTTGTAGAAGGTTCCATTCCAGGTGAAGTATGTATTGGTTAAGCAGTGTCTCACCAGGGGGGGTACCCCAGCGTTCAGTCCTTGATGAACCAAGTCTTCAATGATTGCGATGGTGTCAGGCACAGGTACCTTGGTGAACAAGGAAACCACATCAAAACTGACAAGCAGGTCGTCTGGGGACAGGGCAATCCCCTTGATTGTCGATACCAGGTCAGTAGAGTTTAGTACTGCAGAGGTGGTTTTTCCAGTGAAAGGCCGTAGGATTTCCTAGTTTGGTAGTGTCTCATTCTTCACCTGAAGACGGCTGCTTGCGTTGTAGCCGAAACGTCGTGAGAATTGTTTTATTATGTTTTATTTTTATTATTTTATTACTTCCCTTCTACGTGACTTTACCGAAAGAAACAAGAAGATAAAATAATAAATCACGACGTTTCGGAGGCAACACAAGTCTCCGTCATCAGGTGGGACCGTCACAGCTAGATTTACTGTATCAGGTGGGACCGTCACAGCTAGACCGTCACAGCTAGATTTACTGTATCAAGTGCCTCACTTGATACAGTAAATCTAGCTGTGACGGTCCCACCTGATGACGGAGACTTTTGTTGCCTCCGAAACGTCGTGATTTGTTATTTTATTTTTATTATTACTTTTATTATTTTTATTATTTTTTACCTACGTTACTTTACCGAAAAAACCTAATAGTACGTTACCACTGCGCCACCCCCCGCCGCATATGTTTCGAGTGACGGACGGAGAAATTGTCCCCGTGCGCTCGCGTGCGTGCGTGCCAGGCTGTACGAGTCGGTGAAGATCCTCTTCTCCCTGGGAATCTTCGTGAGCTACGGGGTGCAGTTCTACGTGGCGGCCGAGATCATCGCTCCCTTCTTCGTGGCCAAAGTCCCGCGGCGCTGGCAGATGTCCGTGGACTTGATGTGCCGAGCCGTGCTCGTGTGCATCACATGTACGTTCCGCACATCAGAATCGGAATCGTCGCGCGTGTAAAACTCCAAGCATGCCTGGGGAGCCCCGGGGAACCGTACTCTTTATTGAAATCCGACTAGGGCTTCGTATTTAAAGGTCATGGATTTTATTTCGATTTAAAGCTTTCGTGACTGCAGGAATTCATCTTCTTGGTTCTTTCGGTAAAGTCACGTAGAAGGGAAGTAATAAAATAATAAAGATAAAACATAATTAAATAATTCTCACGACGTTTCGGCCACAACGCAAGCAGCCGTCCTCAGGTGAAGAACAGGTCTGTCGATAAGACAGAGTCTAAATGACACGTCTTAGGCTTGAAGTGTCTATTTAAGCTGTGAGGGAGGAGAAAGAGAGCCTTCTTTTGTCAAGGCTCTCTTCCTCCTCCCTCACAGCTTAAATAGACAGCTTAAATAGACACTTCAAGCCTAAGACGTGTCATTTAGACTCTGTCTTATCGACAGACCTGTTCTTCACCTGAGGACGGCTGCTTGCGTTGTGGCCGAAACGTCGTGAGAATTATTTAATTATGTTTTATCTTTATTATTTTATTACTTCCCTTCTACGTGACTTTACCGAAAGAAACAAGAAGAGTCATGGATTTTCTATTTAGAAGGAGAATTTTTGGATCTTTTTTTGAGCTTTGCATATTTTCGGGTCGTTGCATTGCGTAGGAATTGAATGTCTTTTGTGCGAACAAAAGTGACATCATTCGATACCACGTGACACTACTTTTACGGTAAAAGCACGAAAGTGATGACCTGTAAGTGATGTCATTTCCTGCTCGTGACATTACTTCCGAATCGATCCTAAACCATTTTTTTCTAGATACAGTAATCCGACATTTGTTTTTGAATTTTTATTTTTGTATAAATCCTAATGGTAAGAAAACATCCCCGGCACACACCATGTGAACATTTTTTTAATGTAGAAAGGCCACAAACATGAAATACAGGCTACTGCTGCTGTACAACTTGTGTCATATCAGTCATTTGCGTCGCGCTTACGCCCCCTGCGATGCGCGCACGTGTCCGCGGGCGTTGAGGATGTGGCTCTTCCCGCCGTGCGCTGCGTCACCCAGGTGCCCTCGCCATGCTCATCCCCAAGCTCGACCTCGTGATCGCCCTGGTCGGATCTATCAGCAGCTCGGCGCTCGCCCTCATCATTCCACCCCTCCTGGAGATCGTCACCTTCTGGCCGGAATGGCGACATCAGGGCAGCGTGGGCCGTGGGGGAGACTCCACAGAGCAGTCCACCGCGGAGCTCAAGTCGGCCATGAGGCCCTGGCAGTACTGGCTGGTGATCGGTAAAAATTGCGTCGTCAGCGTCGTTGGCTTCGCAGGTTTCGTCGCCGGAACGTACGTGTCCATCGTGGAAATAGTCGCCCCGGAACCGGTGCCCTATTCCGGGTAACTTCTCGAGGCATCTCTACGTCCTGTGAGCGGCATTGAGTCCCGTCCCCCCCCCCTCCCCACCTTGAGCTATTTTTTTTTCCTCTCGGCAAATATTTTTGACTCGCGAGAGACGCGCAGGTCTCTCTTGTCCCCACCCTCTCGACTTGGAGTACCGTATTGCCATATGCAAGTTTGTAAACTTTGAGATGTACATAAGGTGTACAGGGGGTGCACAGCCATTTCAGATTGCAGTTCAGTTATTTGGCGTCACGAGGTCCAGTCGCTGGGATGGTCCGCTGGAATGTTCTGCAGTTTGTTTTTAGAATAAAAGTGCAGCAAAGGGAAGAATTCGCAGCATGATTATGGCTTCGTTGTGCAAAAGAGAAAATATATATGGAGGGCTTTTGCCTGTGATACCAGGCAGTGTGTACATACGAAAATTAAAAGCAAATTGTCACTACAGTAAATATCACCGATTGTAAATGTTCATCTGGAATGTTGTGAAATTGTACAAGTGCGACTCGTGACACGAGCAGCAGTTCACGTTGGGAAACCGGATGAATTGACGCCATTCACATTTCACGTGCAGGTTAGCAACGTGCCTGTAGGAGGTGGTGGTGGTTGTGGTGCGAGAAATCTGCAGGTCTCCTACCTGTGCAGTTGGAATGTCCGTATGCGTGCCACCAAACCTCCCATAACGTTGGCAGTCCCGAAATAGATTTTTAAATATTTGGGTAAAACACTTAAGTCAAATCTACGCATTGGTATTACTGCGCCCCCCTGGGTGTCATTTTGAACCGTCGACGCCATGAGTGGGAGAGGTTGAGCATCAATAGTTTGGCCCATTATTTAGTGAAGTTACCGGTACTTGCAACGTGGTGCTGTTATGTATGGGGCTAACTGACGCTTGTTACGGAGTGCCAACATCGCACAGTATTGCAGGCGTGTGCGACGCGCATGTCCCTGTGTGGACCAACGTGGAGACATCCTCCACTCCTAGTAGTACTTTGGATCGCAATGGTAAATTTGTATTTGAATAGTTTAACTTATTCTGTCAACGTTGTGTGCAATTTATAATGTAACTCGGTAATTTGCACTAAGTATTTCTCGATTCACCGCACGATGCACTCTGTGTTGTTGTGAGTGCCAGGACCTCTCCTGCTTTATTAAGTGTAGTGGTGATGATCCTTATGGGTTATTATTTTTTAAACCACAATTGTCGGAACGGTGTTATTTTTTAATGATTTATAAAAATGCTTTACCCCTTTCGCGGCGTTGAGTGGGAGTCTCTTTATATGCAACGTGCGTCAACACGCACACACAGCGACTCGGGGCACGGCTCAACTCGCTACCAGGGCAGCATGGCAGAGGTCGCAAACAGGTTTTGATTCCTTACCCGTACCCGGCCGCACCAGGGTCGCAAACGGGTACCCGTACCAGTACCCTACCCGATACCCGGCTACCCGTACCCGGCCGGGTACGGGTAGGGTACGGGTACCCGATTGCGACCTCTGGGATGAAGCCATGTTTCAGGCGCGGGTGGGTTGATTCTAGGAACTTGAACTGTGAGAAGAGACAAGACGTTGGGAAATGAGTGACAAACGGTTACTCACCAGTGACTCACGGCCTACCTGTACCCATACCCGGCCGCACCAGGGTCGCAAACGGCTACCCGTACCCAGCCGGGTACGGGTAGCCGGGTATCGGGTAGGGTACGGGTATCGGGTACCCGGTTGCGACCTCTGCTTTAAGGTCACCATCCTGGACCAGATAGCCCGACTTAGGTCAGTGGGCCTTTCCTAGTAAAAAAAAAAATAGTTTAGTTTATCACTATATTACAGTACTGAAGGAATATCGTTTTATGTAAATTATGGCAAAACAGGCTACAAAAATCCAGATATTCCAATCTTGTACGAGTAATTACCACCCATGACATAGTAACCGTTAATCTGCTTGGCACAACAATCTCCTCCGGAACACGCGGGCATCCACGACCAATGTCAATGAGTCACATTTGATTTGAACCCAGCTGACAGGCCGAGTGCAGCTTGAGGAACACATTACTCACACTGCTCCTCTTTAAAATTCCATCATCATCATACATTTTCCCACGCTCTTACAACGATAACCCTGCTCCATTCAAGAAACGTGTTCACTCTCAAACTTATTTCGAGTATTAAAAAGTTGCAGTTTATTGCTGATCACTTGGCGTTTTCAACCTTTACCAACAAACCATAATTTTTTGTAAAGTGTGGACAGCACAGCACAATGTGCGCAACATCTCAAATGACAGATATGTTGAGTCTGAATTGCATGTTTTAGCGCAACAAACATCGTCAAAATATGCATTAGAGAATTGAAAAACACCGTACGCAGAGATGTAGTTACGTCCGTTTGGATCCGTGGCGTAGTTTTTGGTACAGTAATCCCTCGCCACTTCGCGGTTCAAGTTTCGCGGCCTCAGTGCATCGCGGATTTTTCAAACTGATTTAAAGGCCTCATTATACCTGTGCAGTAACACCATCATCATCATCACATTCATCGAACTGCACAGGTCTGTCATCGTCGTCATTGTCATCGTCGTCGTCGTCATTACTGGAGTCAAGTCTCAAGATACTACTGTCATTGGTGAGTGTAGAACACCATAATACGTATCGTATGAGAGAGAGAGAGTGAATGTATAATATTAAGGTTTTATAATTAAATAGATTTAAGTAAAATATATATATATAAAGTATAAATATACATTTTAAACTTTCTGGTACCCACACACACATATACATAAATTCCTAGGGGGCCAATCCTACTTCGCGGATTTTCACTTATGGCGAGGGGTTCCGGTCCCCATTAACCGCGATAAACGAGGGATCACTGTACTTGTAATTCCGCATGCCAACGATTCGTTAAGCAAGTTATAAAAACTATGCAATGTTAATAATGCTTGTATAAAAACATATACAAAGCCGTATACCCCTTTAGTACATACACACCTCATAATTATTGCATATAATCACTCTATACATTTCGTGTATATTGCAGTAAATGTTCAGCTCTTGATTAATAAGGGGGGGGGGGGGTTACCCCATGTGGAGTGACGTCACCTGCTCATGATTATTGTGGAGGGGTGCAGCATGTGGAGTGATGTCACCCACTCATGAATATTAATGAGGGGGGTTGGGCCTCACGTGGAGTGACGTCACACGTGGGACGGACAGACATTTCTGAGTGATTGTAGTAGGTAAAGTGAAGTTTAGGTATTTGTTTTTATTTGTGCACCACTGGCAAAGCGGTATCACCGAATAGCAAGCACTCGGGGCCCATTCCTTCCACGGAAGTCTGCGAGGAAGGGTCCGTGTGGCCCTTTAAGGCAGAGGTCGCAAACGGGTTTTGATTCCTTACCCGTACCTGGCCGCACCAGGGTCGCAAATGGGTACCCGTTCCCTACCCGTACCCTACCCGAAATGAGTGACAAATGGTTACTCACCAGTGACTCACGGCCTACCCGTACCCGGCCGCACCAGGGTCGCAACGGGTACCCGTACCCGTACCCGGCCGTACCCGTACCCTACCCGTGCCCGGCCGGGTAGGGTACGGGTATCGGGTACCTGATTGCGACCTCTGGGATGAAGCCATGTTGCAGGCGCGGGTGGGTTGATTCTAGGAACTTGAATTGTGAGAAGAGACAAGACGTTGGGAAATGAGTGACAAACAGTTACTCACTCACGGTTTACCCGTACCCGGCCGCACCAGGGTCGCAAACGGGTACCCGTACCCGGCTGGGTACGGGTAGCCGGGTATCGGGTAGGGTACGGGTATCGGGTACCCGGTTGCGACCTCTGCTTTAAGGTCACCATCCTGGACCAGATAGCCCGACTTGTCGTCACTTCTCTACGCTTCCCCCACACCCATCCCCGTTGTTCTGGAGGATCGAAACTTTGCAGCGGCGGCTCCCCAGGGGGAAGATTTCCACGGCTGCTGAAGGTGCGAGCCATTCGAAGTGCTCCTCCGCTCCAAATCACCGCTTCGGGGGTTGGCGGATGGTGCAGTCCCACCTCAGGGGGGATTTCCCCCCCGCCCTCCTCCAGGGGCGATCCTAGTGATCGATGCGAGCAACCTGGGGCTGGGGGGCCCCCTTGGAACCGCTCCGGCATCAACTGGAAGGGGCTGGCTCAGGGCTGCAGTCCACCTGGGCCCTTCCGCACTTTCAGTCCACCTGGGCCCTTCCGCACTTTCAGTATCCCCTTGGGGAGGTCCGTGCTGGTCCAGTGCGACAATGCCAACGGCTTAATCCAAAATCGTGCCAACACCCAAACGCGCTTTTCACGACATAAAGTGTTGCCACGAGACGGGAGGGTGACATCGTCATTGTTACCGTGGAGACATTTTACATTAGTATGTAACAGAATAAAATTCATAACCTTAAAAGCAAAACTAAAATTATCCTTGTAAAATCCTAAAATGACGTTCGAATCGAAAGCTCATCCCGAGTACACACAACGTAAAAGTGTGGCTGTCACAGGATACAGCAGGCACTTGGATATACATTTGATAAATAAGTATAACCCGTAAAAACAAAGTTTTTCACTATAAATCCTTTATATGCGTGGCGGCTAGAGTCCTCTCGTCCTCTGGCTTGAGATGGTTGCCACCTATGGGTCAGATGATTGCATTGCACCATTAAGCAATTGGTAATTAAATATAATATTTTTGTCCTAAAAAGTGCACGAACATTAATTGTCATGCACAACGAGTCTGTGTGCAAAATGTCAGCTTGATTGGATCACGGGAAGTGGGTTAAAAAACGACCGAAAGATTTGCACGGTCCTAAGCACGCAAGCGAACTTAATATAAAGGATTTTTTAAAAAGGATAGTCTTGTGCCAGGTTCATTTCACCCAGCGTACATCTTCAGGATCCGTTGCCTTTTCCTTTCATAAACTCCTTGTTGAACAGCTCAATCTCCCTGCAAATGAGACGAGTCATATAGAAACAAACACACAAACACGGACAGAAATACGGCCGTTGGATATATACAGTAAAACCTTGGATTGCGAGTAACTTGGTCTGCGAGTGTTTTGCAAGATGAGCAAATTACAATTATACAAGTGTCAGGGTCGGGATCGAAACCACGACCTCCTGTATACGAGGCGAGGTAGTAACCATCTCACCTCCATGGATTCTCCTTAACTGACCGCCATGGTAAAGTCTAGTCACACTCTGCAAAATCTGGCGCGTTAGAAATGTCTTCATTATTAACACGCTAATCGGTGCGATAAAAATGAGCATCACCTTCGACTGCACTTCGGCCCGTTCAGAAACTTGATCCGAGCTTGTTCCCAAGTGATTTCCTCCGTCGCCATCAATGCGTACGTGATCGCCTGCGGATCGCAAACACGGCGCGCGCGCAGCGTGGCCTGTCACATCACTCGTGTGGCTACATCGCGTGTTTAAGGAGGGACCCCCGAACAAATGGGAAAAAAATGTGAAAATCGTCTTCCCCGTGAATGAAAAACTTGTTGCGAGCCGCGTCTCCACGCTGCGCACCGCACAGTTCCAGCTTACTTCCATACTCGGCAGCAACCACTGTGGCTTGTGCCTTCCTAAAGCAGCTTGCAATATTTGGCAGTTTCAGTGATGTTTTTTTATCTTCTACATAGTTTTTTTTTAAGAGTAAAAACCCAACATAGCTTACATCGCCATCAGCCCCGCGAGCCTCCTGGGAGAAACTGGTGCAGTTTGCTCGTTGCACCAATGCTGCAGAAACGACGCACTTCACGAAGGCCGTGTGGGCAGATGGCGTTTGTAACAAACAAACAAAAGCACTTCTATTCCCGTGGAGGGGCAGGTATGAAGGAGAGGAATATCTCAGCTTGGTTATTTCATAAAAAATAACGGGGCTTCATTTAGAGAAACAATGCCCGGGGCATCTGACTCTTGAATGACGCCCACAGGATTGAGGACACATTCGAAGCACCCCACTCCAAGTCCCCGAGATGGTCTCGGCACAGGGAATTGTTACCGACTGCACTGCACACACATCCCGGCACAGTCGTCTCTCGCTTCACCGTTGGAGGCGCGTGCACCAGAATTAAAACTATTGAAACATTTTATTTTATTTTACCAGGTAAGGTCCACAAAGCTACGTAGCTCTTTTTCTCCGACACACCGGTGTTGCTGTACCAGTAACGAATTGGCACGTTTTGTTTACGTTACAAAGCTCACTAATTGGCTGTGTCAGGTGGTGGCGGGTTTAACGACACATTTATATTTCGATTTAAAGCTTTCGTGACTGCAGGGATTCATCTTGGTTCTTTCGGTAAAGTCACGTAGAAGGGAAATAATAAAATAATAAAAATAAAACATTAAATAATTCTCACGACGTTTCGGCCACAACGCAAGCAGCCGTCCTCCCTTCTACGTGACTTTACCGAAAGAACCAAGAAGACACATTTATATTTACGCGCTCCAACTCAGAAACCGCTTATGACTAAACTAAACTCCTGAACTACTTTTTATTATACCAGGTAAGGCCCACTGAATTAGAAGCGACCTGGCCACAAATGATAGCTCAACGAAGTGGCTTATCGCGTGGAAATTTATGGCAGCCAAATGCTCCAAACGCACGTTTCTAAACGTGGAGGGAAAAAACGGAGGACCCGGAGAAAAATCCACATGACCATGGGGAGAGAGACACGCAAACTCCAAATGTACAGCAGCAGGCGTCAGGGTCGGGATCGAGCCCATGACCTCCTGCATACCAGGCGAGGTAGTTAACATCTCCTAGCCACCGTGGCACCCAATTACACTTGCAGCTCTGTCCATCCACTGTTAGACCAAGACCTCCCCGAGCTGCGTCGATCGTGGGATTCCTTCGACTCTCGTACTACACCACGCTGGCCAGTGCAGGTTGGTGCAAGGGTGGTGTAGTGGTCGGCACACCGCATCGAACCGGGCGACCCGAGTTCAACATCGGCGACGTTGCACGTTGACGTGCTCGCACGTAGCCGACCGCGCTAACATCGGAGGTTGCCAGAGAAGGCCACGCGGCTACCTCGGGCAGGAGGACGTCGAGGATGAACTGCGAGAGGTCGAAGGCGTCCACCTCGTAGAAGGCGGCGGCGCGACCCTCGGCGGCGCGACCCTCAGCGGCGCACTCCGCTCGCACGCGCTCGTACAGCTCGAGCAGGTAAAGCGTCAGCCGCTCGACGTGCGCGTCGTCCTCCAGGTACAGCGCCGCGTGCAGCTCGCTCGGCCGCCGCCGCCGCCGCTGCTGGAACTCGAGAAGCCACGGCGAGGGGACGGCGCCGCGGAGGAGCCGGCGCAGGTGGCGCTCCGCCACGCCCCTCCGCACGATCGCGTGCAGGAGGCGCTCGTTGCAGCGCCGACGCAGGATCTTCTGGCGGTCCGGGAGGAGGCGCTTTTCGACGCTCGCCACGCTCGGGCTTTCGGCCTCGCGACGTCCGTCGCCGTCCGGGCGCCGTTCGTCGTCTTCCGCCGCCGTCTCGGCCTCCGGGACGTCGCGGAAGGGTTCCGCCGGCGAGGAGGAGATCCCGTGCCAAACCGGGGCACCTGCACAGCCGTGCGACCGTAGCCGTTAACTCACTCGTGCGCAGGTTGTCGCGGTTGTGCTGCCCGCCTCGCCGATGCGTTTCTCGGGCTGTGCCGCCGTCCGTTGTTCGGCATTGTTATCCAACATCCCGCTCCCCTTGCTGGGCATCGTCTGCAGGAACTTAATTGTTCCGAAATGTTCGGGGAACTGAAGTCGATCCCTTCCTTGAACTGATCCTTTCCCAAAGAAACTCTCGGAGAGCACATGGGAGCGAAAGCTTGCAGATCACGCCAAACAACGCGCACGGGCACGACCCGAAATCGCATCGGGGAGTCGTGAGCGTGGCACAGAAATGTTTTGCCAAATGTGCAAAATCGCCGTGCTTACCCCTGAAACAAACGCAAGGCAGTGCATATATCCATTTACAGCGATGAGCCAGTGATTGAAATGCCACATTCCTATAGTAGGGGACCATTGTTCACTTGATACATAACACGGAGGGACTTTAAAACGAAGAAAGCATGGCAAGCTCGCTTTACCATGAACCTTGTCTTTAACGGCCGTTCCGTTATTTGCTGCACACTACCAGTCACGTTTTTTTGTGCGCTCACTGGTGGAGTGGGCTAAGGCCTACACAGCTCGCTTCACCTGAGAACCTGGTTTTACAATGGGCGACCGAAGCCCGGATTCCAAGAGTATCGACCCCCGAGAAATGTGGCAACTTCTGTCACCCTTATTGATCAATTCAACGGTACCATTCCCTCAATGCCTTTGAATGGTTCGTGATAACTGTGTTGCATCCAACACTTGCCAAACGCTACTTACTCTGCTCAGACTTGCAGTATTCAATGAAGGTTTTCCCCATGCCAGAGCCTGAAACTGAACGCAGACACGCTCCGGTGAAATGTCAGAGAGAGAAAACAAGAAACCATCGCGCATTTATACGCCAGGGGTTAGGTGGCCACGTGAGTTAAGGTCAAATGCGTCGCGCTTTGCCAATTGCTTCTCAGTGCCAACAAGAGGAATCTCCGACCTTTTAGCGCTGAGCTGAATAAAATGACATCAGTTAGGCACGATGTTAAAGAGCCAACGTGGTCACCAACCTCCTTGTCAACGCGAACGCACAACCGAATATCAGCACACAAACAATAAGACCTATCTATATAGATGTAAGGGATCTGCGAGCCACCCTCACGCACACGCACCACGCAAACACGACATCTCCGCTCTCACGACAACACGCACCAATCACACGCGCGGGAATGCGCGGACGGGGGTCAGGGGGTCAAAGGGCAGTGACGTCACCCGGACCAGGCATGCTAGACGCGGATGTGCATTGGGAGCGGAGATTGAGGGGTTAAAAGGGGCTGTGGGACGTGTATTCGGGGTTGGTCTTGGAACGAGTATTGCTGTGTGTTGGTGAAATAAAAAGTGCTTTAACCATTCTACGACTCCTCTTCATATGTATGTTGAACTTAGCCGTACGTAGCCAACCCTAATAATCGGAGGTGCGGGGGGAGGACAACAAAAGGCAGCCCATGCTCATGATGACGGCAACCTCATCCATAACACTGGTCAACACACTTTTTCTGGCATAAGGTATTCCAACGGTTTTAATGTAATTTTGGGGTGCTGATTCCAAATCTGGCATCAGTTTTTGTCTATCACATCAGGTTTTTGAGATATCAAATATTTCATTTTCAATAAAAACTGCAGAAGAAAAATATTAAATAAATGTGGATATCTACATAAAATGATATTATAAACACACTATCCTAAAAATACAGCACCATATTTTAACACTAAAGCAGTCACTGACTTGCAACAACTTGCAATCATTAGTGACAGAGTTAATTTCGGGTAACATCAATGAAAATGGGATGTGATAGAGCAAATCTGAGATCAGATTTGGAATCGGCACCCTGAAATTAGTCTAAAACAGCTGCAAAAGTCCAGGCCAGAATTATTATTTTTTTGTTGACCAGTGTAATCCCAACCAGAATGGAATTTCAGAGGTCTACCACCTTCAGCGCACATCCTCAGGAAACACTGACCACACCCCGAAGGTGGATGCGAGATGCGTCATCACGATCAACTCGGTTTCCGCGAAGGGGGCGAGATGAGATTACTTTGCTCTTCACTGGGGATATGCTTCTAGGAATTATCCGCCGAGTTGATACCAGATAATGGTCGGGAAAAATGCTGTGTACTTCATATACTTTCTGTCAGATGACCCACGGGGTTAAGATAACATGAAGGGTGTGTCCGCCAGTACGAGTGGGCACGCTGCAAAGCCCAGACTTTCAATAAAAGAAGTGACGGTGACTCTTGTGGGTAATTCATGATGGTCGACGTGAATGCTGACATCTCCCAGGATGAGTATATTGTCAGCCTCTATCACCAAATGAGACAGAAGAATTTCAAGTTCGTTTAAAATAATGAGGGACAACCTGGTGGTCTATAAACCGTGACAATGAATGCACTCCTATTTGTGTTTTCTTATTGTTTGTTGTAACTTTCTAACCCCGTGCCCCCCTACTGGAAATAAAGATTCGGATTCTCTGTAACGGGTCCACGTGGCCCCTTCAGCCAGCAGTGGGCCCCTCCTCCTGGACTTGCCATCCTTGCCTCGTGCAGCCACCACTATTTCCCTGTTTAACACTCCACCACGCCAAGGCTGAGTCCACCACTATTTCCCTGTCTAACATTCCACCACGCTCAGTCCACCACTAACGCCAGGCCCGGCTTGCTCGCATTCACTGTTTTTACGGTGCGCGCGTTAAAACGTGGTTAATCAATAACTGCTGCGGAACACCATGGACGGATTAACAACAACAAAAACTAATTCATCCGGCCTTTCAGAGAAGTTGATTCTTGAGTAGCGCGAGAAACGCGCAACTGTTGGCAGAGCGTAACGTAGCGCACGGTCCACACCCTCACCGGTCTTGCTCCAGTAGTCCGTTATCAGCTCCAGGTAGAGATCCATCTCCCTCGGGCAGGACTTTTTTGCCTCTGCCTGTAGAGAAAAAAGAGCGAACGAACACAAATATAAATCACACGCATGCACACGCGCACAATAGTGCCCAGTCATTTACCCGAAGTGAGCCTCGCCAGGCCTCGGTTTCTGCATCGAGATGTTTGGCCGAATCTATTGACGAGTGTCTGGTATCGTGTAGGTCAGGGGTCGGCAAACAACATCAGAATATTTATAGGGTCTGGATCGAACCCCCCGACCTCCTGTACACCAGGCGAGGTAGTTAACGTCTCGCCACAACGGATGCGAATTACGTCGCGACCGAGTATCATCGGCATGCGAATAACGAGACATCCCACGCTCAGCATGACGGTGGCAACCTCACCCGTAATCGCAACCTGAAGCAGTCGTTAAAAGAGCCGCATGCGGGCTCAAGGAGCCCCTTGGTGTCGGAAACCTCCGGAGTGTCCGGAGGAAACCCTCCACACGGCAACGCGATTAGGAAGGGGGTGACGTCGCCACCTCCCGACCACACCTCACTACGCGATGTCAGCGAAACAATAGCAACCCTTCATCCATCCAATTACTAACCCCGATAAGCCAGAGAATACAACCAATTCATTATTGCCGTTATTAAAAGACAAAGATCCTCCGTATAGCCTGAACAGACTGTTGGGGCAAGTGCTGTTAGCGAGCTCCTATGAAGGCCGGCACGGCACACGAGGGGGTGGGTGGCCAGCAACACGCCTGACTGCCTTTGTCTCCCTAGTGACGATGTTTACACACCGAGTCGACCTAGGAGAGGCCCAGAGCAGGTTCAGATAACCGTCACTGGGTGTTGGCCGTGAGCGGGAATCGAACTCGGGTCGCAAGGTTCGTAGCGCAGCGCGCTAACCGCCACACCACCGCTCCCCACAAACGCACACACATCACTCGATTACTCGCACCGGCCGTACGTGCCGCGATTCTGCTTGCGATAAAATGACGCGTAGTAAAGCACATTTACAATCAGTTCATATTTTTCTCGGCAGTTGAAGGGCTTGATGTGTTTCACCGTGACCCCGATTCTGCAGAAGGACAAAAACAGCACCGTTAGGTTCCGTTTGAAGGCGAGAGAGATACGGCGAAGGTGTCACGTGATTCGTGCGTGTCAAGACGTTGCACAAAAACAGTTTGACATGCGCATCCTGTGGACGAGCGGTTCCCGACCCCTGGTAGCCCACGAGGCTACTGCAGGGCGTCCGCAGAAAGAAAATAAAAAATATGAACAGCATACCCACCGAGGAAATGTCAAATTTAAAAGAACTAGCAGCGTGTGATGATCTGAGAAATGTTTGGAGGTTTAAGAGGAGGTCCCCCACACACTCGACAAGGTTGGCAGCCGCTGCTCAAAGTTTGCCATCCTGCGGAAGTAAACCTCTTACGCATTCAGCTTTTCCGCGCTCGACTGCATCTTCAAGCTGAAGAACAGCACCACGCACCTCCGGCGGCCCTTCTCCTTGGATACCCGTTTTACCTGCAAGGGGAAAACCGTTCGGGGAACACGTGCAGGTCAACGCAGTCGTTCACAAAACGGCTCACGAAGAGTAAAATCAGGCTCGGGCAGAACGCAACCATGGCAAACAACAGGACGATGCACCCCCCCCCCCCCCCCCCCACGGGGTCGGGAAAAAGTGGAGGAGATGGAGCAGAGGTGCCGGTGCGTTACATTGCAGGATCATGAGAGGTCGCGGTGACTTTCGGAGGCCTTGATCCAGCAGAGGATTGACCGTGGCCAATGATGATGATGATGATGAAAAGTAAGCAGGGTGGAGTGGTGGCACGGTCGTTAACGCACAGCGCTAGTAGTTAGACGAATTCCTTTCATATTTCTTAACAGAAACAATATCGATCCGGAGGGTCCTTCCAATTGTTTTGCAGTCAGCGGTGATGTTGCTATGCATTATCCCAAATGAGTAATTTTCTAGTATTTTTGTTGGCATTGGAATGTTTGGACAGCACCAGTGACATTGTGAATGTGTTCGTTGCTGATATGAATAAAACGGAAAACCCGGTGAAAAGCCATGCAGAACAGGGGCAGAACATGCAAAGTCCACACGGAAAAGGCACCCGAGTCGGGAATCGAACCCAGGCAGCCCCACTTGCCGCCAAGAGCGAGCGTTACCACTGCGCCACGATACATGGGAGTCGTGAACCCTTACGGAGTGAGAAACACGAGCCGTAGCTTAGTAGAAGCCGGGGTAGGCCGTGCAGCCCACTCTCTCTCCCCCCACTCTTTCTCAACTCTCTCTCTGCTCTTTCTAAACTCTCTCTCAACTCTCTCTCAACTCTCTATCTCAACTCTCTCTCTCAACTCTCTCTCAACTCTCTCTCTGCTCTTTCTAAACTCTCTCTCAACTCTTCTCTCAACTCTCTATCTCAACTCTTTCTCAACTCTCTCTCAACTCTCTCTCTCTGCTCTCGACCGCTACACTGTCAGGGCTGTGGGTTCTGCTAACACCCTCGCTGTGGTTGTTGTGGTTGCCGTGGTTGTTGTTGCTGTGGCTGTTGTTGCCGTGGTTGTTGCCGTGGTTGTTGCCGTGGTTGTTGCCGTGGTTGTTGCTGTGGTTGTTGTTTCTGTGGTTGTTCTTGTTACCGGGGTTGTGGTGGTTGTTGTTGCTGTGATTGTTGTTGCCGCCGTGGTTTTTGCTGTGGTTGTTGTTGCTGTGGTTGTTCTTGTTGCCGTGGTTGCTGTGGTTGTTGTTGTTGTGCCATGCGCTGCAGCTGTGTGTGTGTCCTCACCACGGCAGGGAAGTAGGGCCATCGCTGATACTTGCACCACACTAAGTCATCCTTCTTCGGCTGGAAAAAACCTTAAGACGACGACAACAACAACAACATTAAAATAAGTATCCCCCTTTACATTGCTATTGGTACATAAACCAAATCGGATATTTTAAATTGTAACAGGGTTTAATAACCTACTAAAAGATCATTTTGCCACACACCACCATCGCAAACGAAACGTGGTTAGGCATTGTTCAAACAGAGGACGCATTTTACATCGTGACCACCACTCGCTCGCTCAACGCTCAAGTGATTTCTTTAACATTTGGACGTATTGACCGTACACCGGTGCAGCATAACACACCGGCTCCTCATAAAACAGTTTAAAATCAAAAACTTGAATCGGCAAATCTGTTTATCAGTCTTTAATTGACCTCTGTCGCCGAGTCTGACGCGATTCGAAGGTTTATTCAGTCGACCGAGACCTGCTAAAAAATTAACCCGTAAAAACAAAGTTTTTCACCATCAATCCTTTATATGCGTGGCATCGGTTTTATTTTATTATTCATTTCTGTTTTTCTTGAGTAAGAGTTTCATTTTTATCCCATTGGTATTTTAAATTAAATATGAAAAAAAAAATTTCCTAAAAAGTGGAACATTTTGGAAACAATTTTTAACGAAAATAAATTGTCACGCACAACGAGTCTGTGTGCAAAATGTCAGCTCGATTGGATCACGGGAAGTGGGTTAAAAAACGACCGAAAGATTTGCACGGTCGTAAGCGCGCAAGCAAGCAAGCAAGTGAACTTAATATAAAGGATTTAAAAAAATTAACCCGTAAAAACTAAGTTTTTCACTATAAATCCTTTATATGCGTGGCGGCTAGAGTCCTCTCGTCCTCTGGCATGTAATGGCTGCTACCTATGGGTCAGATGATTGCCTGCCACCATTAAGAAATTGGTAATTAATTACAATTTATTTTTTCCTAAAAAGTGTAAAAAAAATTCACGAAAATAAATTGTCTCGCACAACGAGTCGGTGTGCAAAATGTCAGCTCGATTGGATCACGGGAAGTGGGTTAAAAAACGACCGAAACATTTGCACGGTCGTAAGCGCGCAAGCAAGCAAGCAAGTGAACTTAATATAAAGGATTTAAAAAGGTCAACATTGACCGTCGATTTGGGTCCGCTGAATCGAGGAACCGTCCGACCACGTCAAGGGCACGAGGAGTCAAATCTCGCCGCCTTTGGAACACGGGGCCAGCCAATCGTCATCAGGGCTGGGTGCTGCTGTCAAGGCGACAGACTGCGAAGCTTCGTGTTCAGCTGTTCGTATAACCCGTTCGTCTTCCGACTGCTTCGACATCGCAAGAAATTATTTTGACGCACACCGCAAGATTTTCTGACCGCGGTTGCGAATCGCGGGAAAATAAATAATTACAGTAAGAACTCCTTTTAACGATCGCCCCTGCTAATGACTAATTGCTTAACGACGGGCCTCCACAGAGCCCAATGTGTAGTGTAGATATTAATGTATTAATATCGATTGTTTAAATATTATAAAGTATGCTTTTTGGGTAAAAAAAAAATTACTATCGATGATTTCAACGTGTTTTCTATACTCACTTAACGACCAACTCACTTAACGACCAACTCACTTAACGACCAACTCACTTAACTCACATATGAACTCCAAATATACAGGCATCACAGTCACGAAATGAACCCACAAACTTCCTATACCAGGGCAAGGATAGTAAACACATCACCACTTTTTTTTTACACAAATTACCGAAAATACATAAATAAGCCATGAAATACATTAACTCGCAGTCACCTGGGCTGGCGTAGAGACTGGGCAGAGGCTCCTCCTCGCTGCTGCTGCTGCTGCTACTACGGTCCTCCTCTTTCCTCGGCTCTCCCAGTGCAGGGCTGGGAGGCAGCGTGCACGACCCTGCCCCAACTCACCCACAATCCCCACTCAGCCACAATCCCCACTCAACCACAATCCCAACTCACCCACAATCCCAACTCACCCACAATCCCAACTCACCCACAATCCCCACTCACCCACAATCCCCACTCCTCACCCACAATCCCCACTCCTCACCCGCAATCCCCACTCCTCACCCGCAATCCCCACTCCTCACCCGCAATCCCCACTCCTCACCCGCAATCCCACTCCTCACCCACAATCTCCACTCAGCCACAATCCCCACTCACCCACAATCCCCACTCAGCCACAATCCCAACTCACCCACAATCCCCACTCCTCACCCACAATCCCCACTCAGCCACAATCCCCACTCAGCCACAATCCCCACTCCTCACCCACAATCCCCACTCCTCACCCACAATCCCAACTCCTCACCCACAATCCCCACTCCTCACCCACAATCCCAACTCCTCACGCACAATCTCCACTCCTCACCCACAATCCCCACTCCTCACCCACAATCCCCACTCCTCACCCACAATCCCCATTCAACCACAATCCCCACTCCTCACCCACAATCCCAACTCACAAAACGAACCTAGACTCTGACCCTAAATCTGACCACTCCCTTCTGCTCCCTCGTTAGCGGTCCTAGCCATCACGGAAGTGTTCACTTGATAAAACTGATGCTTTAGTATTGTGTAGGGTTTGGGGTAGGGGTTATGATCAGTATTTATGGGTTAGAGGATTAAAACTTGGCAGAAGGATTAGAGGTTCGTGTTCAGCGGTTAGGGTTACGGGTTAGGATCTAGGGTTTGGCGAGGGGTTAGCATTTCGGGGTTATGCATGTTGAACATCTTTCGCACTGCACGCAGCCAAACCGTGCTAATCGGTGGTTAGGGTTTGAGGCAGTAACACCGAAGGACATTTATATTTTGCTGCATCTTTAAGGACAGCCGTCCCGGACTTAAACGCTGCTGGCTCACGCGGAGCCCGGCTGGCCGGTAGAATGACAAACACGCGGCAAGACTTTGGACGATGATGGTCGGTGCGGTTTGGCGAGGGCAAGAGAGTTGTATAGTTGCTGCCGAAACCATCCATTATGCATGGTGCTCGCTCATCCAAGCACTGTCCAGGCTCAAAACCGCTTAAGAGTCTGAGATCTGACCATCAGGCACAGTTACAAGTTATTTGGTCATAGGCCCGAGTTCTTCAAATTATTGTTTTATAAATTAATTAGGTGAATCGTATGGGCACTGGTAGTCAAGTTAAAAATAACCCGCACTCAATACGACAGCAGCCCAAGTTCACAGAAGCCGGTGTGTGTGGTACAATCCGTTTCAAAACCGGCGTTTCAATACCGGCTGGCGCCACCCACCCGTGCCACCAAGCGCGTCCCAACCCTCCTCTTGAAGCGCCGCCGACACTTCCAAGGGCGCGCTGGGCACGGCATTCCCCGCAGCCGCGGGAGCGGCCCTCGGGGGCGATCGGCGAGAGCTCTCGATGCCGAGGCACGCGCGCCCTCTCCGTTCTTCGGCCACCGTGGGCTCCGAGGCGGCGTCTCGGAGCTCACTGGTGGCCGCCCGCGCCAGGGCACCCCGCAACCGCCGCCTGGGACGCGTCTCTCCACCACGAGTCCCCCTGCCACTCCGCGGCGGGGTGCACGTGGCAACGGCGGGGGACGACGCCTCCCGCTCGCCGCCACCTTTGCTACTTCCAGCCCCGACAGCCTCGGTCTTCCCGCTCTTTGGCCGACATCTGCTGGGACTCCGCGATCGCTGTCGAGACGTTCGTTCATCCGTTGTTGGGCTCCTCCTCGGCTGCCGAGCCTGCTCTCTGAACGCCGCGACGTCCCGTCCTCTCCGCGTCGCCCTCCACGTCCATGCCTGGCTACGGCTTGCGTGGCGCGCCCTTCGTGCGGATGGAGGTGGACGCGTGGAGCTTGGCGCGAGGCACTACGGAAGCGGCAGCTTTCCGCGCGCCGGCAATGGAGCTCCTGCATCCCCCCAGAGAGTCCACGTCATCGCCGTGCCTGCTGCTGTGGGACCATCCGTTCAGAAGGGGGCAATAACGAGCACGAAATGAGTTATAATCTTAACTATCCGATACATTTCAGAGTGGTTTCATTATAGCGCGAGGATATCATTAAGGTGCAAGCTGTGTTTCACATGCATAGTCTGCGGTAGTTTCAGTGGGGTGGGGGCAATGTTGCTCTCTGTAATCCATATTGAGTAACGTGGGGCGTCATTTTTCAAATTTGCCAAATTTGTAACGTGGCTTCGGCACACAATGACGTCACGGGATCTTTAAACGTACAACGGCGCGAGTCAGTATTGCTATTTAACAAAAAACTAGTTTTATTTTACCAGCTAAGGCCCACTGAGCTACGTAGCTCTTTTTTCAGAAGCGACCTGGCCACAAATGACAGCCCAACGAAGTGGCTGATCGGCGTGTGGAAATGTATAGCGGCAGTCAAATACTCTAAAACGCGCCGATTCTAAATGTGGAGGGGAAAACTGGAGTCACCAGACAAAAATAAACACGACCACGCCCGGCCGTCTTTGTGTCGACAGTGGCGATGTTTTACACACCGCGCCGGTACTCATTTGAGGCCGAGCCCACCTAGGGGAGGCCCAGCACCGGGTCAAGATAATCGTCACCGGCGTTGGCCGTGGGCAGGAATCGAACTCGGGTCGCCGGGTTCGTAGCGCAGCGTTGCGCTAACCGGTACACCACCGCATCCCAGGAGTTTGTGAGCTTACAAACAAACACACACGAACACAAACACGCACGTGCAACGACAACAAAAATACACAAAACGTTTAACACAACACGAACAATCCAACGCAATGAGATGAGCACAAGGTCATGGGCCCAGCCGCGTCTCTACAAACCCGCGCAGTGCCATGGGTTGACTGACTGAGATGACCGGTAGATGCACACCAGCTGTACCCCCATACTGTGCCAACTCGCTCTATTTTATACGCCAGGCGCTCCGCTCGTTGTTGTGAGCGTCGCTCTTCCGCCCTGTTGTTGTTGGAGGGCAACTGCCTACAACCGCCCAGTAGCAGCAGCGTCCTTCACGATGCCTCCTCCACAGAGGCCGATCTTGACACCGCTGGTACCAGCCATCAGCAAGTCCACTTAGCTCCACGTCCTCCTGTACCGCATCAGCTCCATCTCTTCTCTAGCCCAGTGCCGTGCCCGTTTAGCCCCCTCTATTCTATGCGGCCCAACAGAAGTTGCTTGGGCATGCGGTGGCTGGGCATGCAGGCTACGTGAACCCAGCCAGCGCAGCCTCGCCCGCCGGAGGAGCTCACCGCCTGGAACGTGTCCAGACCGTTCAAGGCATTTGTGAGCTCGTCACACAATCCAGCCTGTAGGTCAAACCCACGATGTGTGTGTGCGTCTCCTGGACACAACAACAACAACGCACGCGCGCACACACTCCCGCCATCACAACAGCGGACACGTAGGGACCACACGACACGAACTCACCATCTGCGAGCGCTGGCCGCTTGCAAGTTGCAGCAGCGGCAGTAGCAGCAGCAGCGTAGCCCTGCCGGGGCAAAGCACGTCAAAGTGTCTCTGTGTGTGTGGCGTGCTGTGTGTTGGGCCTCTCTCTCTCTCGTGTGTGTGTGTACTGCCTTCCGCGAGTGCACGAGAGCTGAGCACGTGGGCGGCACTTTCGGGTGTGAGCGGCACTTCCGGGTTCGCGAGCCGCTCCCAACCGCAACCTTCTCCGCCCTGGTTCAATAACACAGTAAATTCAGCTGTGACGGTCCCCACCTGATGACGGAGACTTGTGTTGCCTCCGAAACGTCGTGATTTATTATTTTATTTCTATTAATTATTTTTCTATTATTTTATTATTTATTTTTACCTACGTGACTTTACCGAAAAAACCTAAGAGTATCAATAGGGCGAGTTGAGACGAACCCACCCCCCAGAACTATCCGAACCGGTTGCTGGGCCCTCCTCTAGGTCGACTCAGCGTAAAGAACAAAAAATGAGTACCCGGTGCGGTGTGCGCGTGCGTGTAAACATCGCCGCTGGGGAGACGAAGGCGGTCGGGCGTGGTGCTGGCCACCCACCCCCTCGTGTGCCGTGCCGGCCTTCATAGGTGCTCGCTAACAGCACTTGCCCCTAGAGTATGTAAAGGCTATACGGGGGTCTTTGTTGTTGTTTGCAGCTTTCTCGAGGAGCCACGTGCGGCTCCTTACGAGTCACTGAGGCCTCCACTGCAGGGAGCCCCGGGCGGGGGGAACCTCACACTCTCTATATATGGGACGCTGCAGTGGCGAGATGTTGACTACCTCGCCTGGTACGCAGTAGGTCGTGGATTTTATTTCTACGCTGACGCCTGCTGCTGTCTATTTGGAGTTTGTGGCGTCTCTCTCTCCCCGTGGTCGCGTGGATTTTTCTCCAGGTCCATAATAGAGGTTTTTGGGCTAGATCGCGTAACGGGCCGTCCATAAATGACGTCACGCACCTAGGGGGGGGGGGTCAGACATTTGTAACGATGTGTGACGCCGTGCGACGAAGGGGGGAGGGCAAAAATCGTCCAAAATCACGTGACGTCATTTATGGACGGCCCCAAAGACAAAAAAATGTCTGTCCTTCTTTGAAAAGTCGCCGACCCCTTGGTCTTGAGTAATCACAGAATAACCACGTGGTGGGAATGTCCTGCATTAATCGTTGGATGAAATGGTCAAGCACGCTGGACTTCCAATCCAGAGGACCTCGGTTGGATCCCTGGCACGCAGTGCCGGATTAATTATCCTCGTAGCAACAGCAGCTACACAAGTAGCTACGGGCCCCGCACTTTCAAGCTATCAATTCCGGTTCAGTGATTCTGCACTTGCTCTATTATCATAGTACTATACCGCCTTCAAGCTTTTATGAACGACTGGGTGTTTAAGGTTAGCGATTTGTCGTATTATGTGGCTGTATAGCAAATGAAAAAATATAATTATTTGACTATGCAAATAAAAAAAAAGATTGTGTTTTAATATTTACGTGTTTCTTTTTATTTAGGGCCCCATTACAACATATGCTACAGGCTCCGCACGAGCTTAATCCGGCACTGCTGGCACGGCATTTGAGACAATGCTGAGGTTTCCTTCATCCCCTCCACACCCCCCCCCCCCGCCTGCGTTCCATCTCGCACAGGGGGTACCGGCAGCCAAAATAACAAGAATAGCCATTTTTTTCAAATTCGGTGAAACCAAAAACAATTTACATTACAGGAGCCGCAATGATTGAGGAAGCCGCATGCGGCTCTGGAGGCCAGAGGTTGCCGACCCCCTAACCTGGCAGTATAAACGGGTTCATCAACCCTCGGTCGGGCAGGCCGCATGCGGCGGTGTAAAGTGTGGGTACTCCACACCTCTTCCAAGATGCCGGTCCAGCATCGAAGATTTGGTTCAGATGCACCCTCTGGAGAGAGCTCTCTGGAGCTCCCCCTCTCGTGGAGACCCCTTCCACCAGCAGTGGCATGAGCAAGCAATTGCAGGGCTGCACCTTTACCGTTTTATTTATTCATCATCCGCAGGCATCAAACATCATTTTGAAACAGGAAACCGGAGGAGTCACGTGGTAAAATGACCCGCATATCTATACAGAAGCCCCTTGAAAAACAGCAGTGTTTTGCTGAATTTCGTTAAAAAAAAAAACTACTGTACTAATTACAGTACAATAATTGACAGGATTAGTTGCATTTTGTTCCTCTTTTCTTCCGTACAACCAAACCGCACCAATCCAGCCTGGCCGAGTAGTTTTTTTCCACTGCAAAAGCCGAGCCGTGTCTCGCTGACACTACCACACAGTGAACTAGTTTAGCACAATGATGCAAAGCGCAGTCCAACTTGTGTATCCACTCGCTCTCCTCTCTGGCCTAAGTGCGATGAAGAAGCAGCATTTCTTTTAGGGTCACAGTGTTGCTGATGAATGTCAGTTGTTATTATTATCTGCGCTTGTGCACCACTGCCAAAGTAGTACACCACCAGTTGAATATATTTATAAGTGGGACTGTGCACGGTAGATGACGTGGTAAAATGCTGCGTACTCACAGCGTACCAACACAACACGCGAAGCCCCCGCTTAATGATCCCTGGCCCCGCTTGCCTAGAAAGGCCAGCAGCGTTGTCGCGGCTTGGTTTTGGCTCGGCTTGGCAAATAGCGAGTGGAAAAACGAACTGTGCCATGAGAACGCCGTGTTGGCTCAGCTCGGATTTACCAGTAGAAACAATCGGTAAAACGTGCCCCCGATGAAGCACAGTGGTGGTGCAAGTGGTGAATCTGGAAGATAAACGAAGACAGCGTTTGCTGCCATTCCCCAGTGCGTGCGTGCGTGCCGCTTAGTGCTTGATGATGGTGGGGGCGATCATCTTGGTGTGGGAGTAGTATCTGCAGTCGGAGGGTGGCACCAAGTCCATGACCTCCACGCTGATGTCCTCCTTCCTGAACTTCGCCTCCACGAGCTGAGGCACCTGTGTCTCCTGTGCGGACCCACAGACAAGCCGTGTTAGTGCAGGCTTCGTTATGGCCTCGACACATTGTATCCTTGACAGCCGTATACTGTATCATGCATATTTCCTCATCGATAAAAAAAAACTATTTAAATCTATTGGCTAATGTACAGGGTGGTCCAGATGTCTTGGGTACCCCACATTGTATTCTCGAAATGGTGTTGTTTTTTTAAAGGTTCGTTTAAAACAGGAATCAATATGCAAAGGGGAAAAATGCAAGGGGTCAATTAATTGGGGGTCACAGGACATCTGGACGACCCTGTAGGATGTTCCATGTACGAAATGGCAAAAATAAGCGATGAAGAGAATATAAAATATCAATGAGAAAGTGACATCAAAATCATGGGATGATGCACGTTGCAGCCATCCACCTGAAACATCTTCTCAATGTCGGTGAACTTGTTCTTCATGAGCTCGCCCCACGACGTGAGGTTGCAGTAGGTGAGCACGCCGCCAGGCTTGAGGAGGTCGTAGGCGTAACCCTGCCGCAGCAAAGAGACACCGCCGGTAACATCAGAGCCAACACGCAGAGACAGGCAAGGATTTGTCACTGAGATCTTACAGAATTGTGTTGAATAATCTTCATCGCGGGAGGCTGCAACGCTTCAATGAACTTGAGCTAACCGGGAAATATGTCCGGGGTTTTGGTCTACGGATAAGGTGGCGGACACGAAACTCGAATCACGAAGTTGCTGGCACGATTGCTGCTGACGATATTAATTTTAATCAGGGATGCGATCTGAGGCCTTCCGTTGAAGCGTAGACGGCTCCCTGCCACGTCATGGGATAGACCCAGATGCTATGGGTTGACGAACTCAGCCGACTGGCAGATAAAGATTTCAGGGCCGTACGTTTCCAGCAGCATTTTTTGAAGCGGGCAAATTCTGGACCGGTTTCACCTTTCTGGGTTTCGTGGGCAGGTGGTGTGGCCTGTTTATTTTTTGGTGGTGAAAAGGCCTTGAGAGCAGAGGGGTAGAAGCCCTTTGCAGCTGACACACACACTTTCCCGCGCGATGGCCGCACAGTGACCTCTGCCCTCTGCTCGAACGAGAGGCCATTGATTCTAGATTGCCTGAAATGTTAGCTGACTGTAGCTATTCTAAAGGCAACGGTAATGATTCATGTATGGGGTTTTTGTTGGTTTGTGTTTACACACGACTTGCCTGCACAAGTCTCTTAATGTGTTTTACGAGTAGAATGGATTTATTCGTAAAACAAAGCGTATGCTGCGAGGTGGTCTGGTCGAGAGATGGTATGACAGCAACGGATTGATGGGCCCATCTGTGCGGAGCTCTGAACGTTGCCCTCTCCTTTACGTGGAGTTTTTTTTCTGGGCACTCAACAGTTTCCTGCCACATACCAAACATCCCGATGCAGGACCCCCCCCCCCTGTAAAAAATAGTGCCGAGGCTCAGTGAGGCTTCATGAGGTTAATAGAAGCCGCTGTTATTTTATTCTTTGTAGTCGTCGCATTTTAAACATTTACCTTAATGAAGTCAAACTGATGCGTGTGCCAGGTCGCCTCGGAGAGTGGGTAGGTATCGTACAGAATCCCTGGAACAATACAAAGGCGGATAAAGTCACAAGGCCAGCCAATGATACGTCACCATCTTGTAATCCAGCAACTGTGTGTGTGAGATCAGATTTGTGTAATTTTCTGGAGATTAAGGTACTTGTAATTCCATTCTCACATGCACAGTTGGTTATAGGATCACAACGCGCATGCTGTCGTTTATACCGTCACTATCTCTTCTTGCATACGGCAGCAATATGTTCAGGAAATGCCAAGGTCTGCCATTCCTCCTCCAGTGAGGGAGTACAGACTACACTGGTTCACTATATTGTCCATGTGATAATAGGGTTTTCCCCTTTTTCTGGCAACAAAACAAGTGTTAAGATGATAAAACACCAAACTGAAACCTTTTACAAGGAATCATGTCTGCATTAACCACAATGCTTGTGGTCAAAATGCAAAAAAAAATACTCTGATAATATATGCATTGTCCTTGAAACTGATTGGTCCACACCAGAGACAGCTTTCTTTTGAGCCTCGTCTTAAACGGCGTCCTCTGGTCTACTGGCAAAGGAGATCGCATGATATATTGTCCATAGTTTGTGTTGCATGACCACAATTACCACTGCTGGGGCCTACGGAAACTAAAGGGCCTAGGAAAAAATATGTTACCATGTTTTTTGTTGAAATATTTTAACAAAAATGTAACCAAGACATCTTCTTGAATAAATATATTGATATAGCAAGTATAAGTGTGTCTACAAAGAGGCAGTGTCAATCTTTTTTTCTCATAAGGCGAGAGAGAAATGAACACCTCATTCTCAACAGAGAGCAATGCAAGGGAAGACAAGGCGGCGTTGTTGTCCAGTGGTTGATCGGAGGCAGCTTTTTTTAATCGACTTTAGCGAGTGACAGCGGCGGTAGTAGCAATATGAGGCAGCAGTAACCAACTCGAGAAATTTCGATTTAAAGCTTTCGTGACTGCAGGGATTCATCTTCTTGGTTCTTTCGGTAAAGTCACGTAGAAGGAAAATAATAAAATAATAAAAATAAAACATAATAAAATAATTCTCACAACGTTTCGGCCACAACGCAAGCAGCAAGTGGAGAACAGACTCTGCCTTCTCGACAGACCTGTTCTCCACCTGATGACGGCTGCTTGCATTGTGGCCGAAACGTCGTGAGAATTATTTAATTATGTTTTATTTTTATTATTTTATTATTTTCCTTCTATGTGACTTTACCGAAAGAACCAAGAAGACAACTCGAGAAAGTTATCACCGAAACGCCCGCGAAACAGAAGTGCCTAGGGGCCTACAATAACCTTAATCTGGCCCTGCATAAATGAGATGTGAACGTCGGCTTGTTGATGTCCTGATGCGGTTGATGGCTGCACCACGCACGCTGTTGGACACAAGTGGAGGCGGCTGTGATCTCCGCTGTGATCTCTTGAAATGTAAAATGTAACTTTGTACCGATTCTGAGTAGATAACAGCAGGACTCGGGGTCATATGACCCCGCGTTTCATCAATGCAGGAAGTTAATACATTACCGGGCAAAGTAAGGGCATATCTTTAACTTAAATAAAAGATAAGTAATCTGTGTTGACATTGTAGCTATGGTATGTACTCGAGGTAAAAGTGCGTGCAGCAAATTGTAATTCTGCAAGAACGCAAAATTACGTGTTTAGTCGTTACACATTTCGCAGCGTTTTCAGTTTGCAGATGGGTCAGAAGTTAATTTCTCAAGGCTATGCATGGCCATGGGGGTTCTCTTGCTAACCGCATGTTTGGAAATCTGCACAGAAACTGGCATGCAGTTGGAGGGCTATAACAGTGAGACTACAGCTCGGGTTTATGAATGATGATAACAAGTATTTGAAGATGTATATGATAAGCCACTTCGTTGAGCTATCATTTGTGGCCAGGTCACTTCTGAAAGAAGAAGCGAATAGCTCGGTGGGCTTTACCTGGTAAAATAAAATAGTTTAGTTTTGTTTGTATGTTTTTGTGATATGCTTACATTTCCTATACGTAGGCAACTCACATCGTGTTTTTGTATTGTTTGTTCCTGTAACGTTGTGACTCACCCCTACTAAACATCTGTGAAGTAGAGATTTATAGCTTATCGGATTCCTCCATTTCCAAATACATATTCTGATTCATGAATGAGACAGAATGCACCAACAAGAAAAGTACCAATCATGTCGTGAAGTGACTGGTGACAGAATTATGGCGGTTTATCAGAATGTTCCATGCACGAACAGCCAACAAGTGCCGTGCTTACCATCAAAGTGTCCTTTCGGCAGCGTTGGCACAACATCCTCCCACAGCCCCTTCAGTGGCACGATCTGCGGTAAGCAAGCGACAGGTCACGCGCTGGCAGGGATGCTTACACAACTTGCTTTTCATTTTGTAACCGTATAGAATAAGTTTTTTTTAATGTTCAATGATGCAATGGCGCTTTGGGTGGCTGATTTGTGCCAGAAAGGCGCCACGTGTGAGCTAAGAATAACTTGGCTTCACACGTAAGTGAGATTCTCACAAACCGCCAGCCCACTCGAGCGCCTCCTGTCACAGGGAGGCAGCTGTTGTCAACTCGGCACTCAGAGCCGAATAAAACTAAGGGGCATTAATTCTAGATTTGAAGCTTTCGTGACTGCAAGTATTCATATTCTTAGGTTTTTTCGGTAAAGTCACGTAGGTAAAAAATCAAAATTAATAAAAGTAAAATAAAAATAAAATAAAAATCACGACGTTTCGGAGGCAACACAAGCTTCCGTCTTCAGGTGGAACCGTCACAGCACACGACGGTTCCACCTGAAGACGGAAGCTTGTGTTGCCTCCGAAACGTCGTGATTTTTATTTTATTTTTATTTAACTTTTATTTATTTAGATTTTTTACCTACGTGACTTTACCGAAAAAACCTAAGAATAAGAAGGGGCAATTGATCCTATCCCCCCCCCCACCAACTCCTGCACTTACCGAACATTCGACTTACGAACTTTCAGAGATACGAACAAACTTGTCAGTATGTCCAATTGCCTGTTCGTATCGAGAGTCGTAAGTTCAACCGCCGTCCAGTAGATGGCGGCGGTGGCATCTACATTTGTAGAACGTGAAGAACCAGTGGCATCTCTACATTCGTAGAACGTGAAGAACCAGTGGCATCTCTACATTTGTAGAACGTGAAGAACCAGTGGCACCTACAGGAGATTATCCAGCTTTCAAAGCCATCAACATATTTGGAATCGACAGCAGTACAGTTGGACTTAGGAATGAATCGACTTACGAACAGACCTCTGGAACCAAACTCGTTCGTAAGTAGAGGACTCCCTGTACATTGACCCCCCCCCCCCCCCCCTTTTTCCGCCGGGGGGCACTCACCTTGTGCGGCTGCTTCGTCGCCCACTGCTGCAGGCGCTGGAAGACGCCATCGTTGCACTCGATGATCCAGTGCTCCGTGATGTCGCTCTCCTCTACCTTGGTGGCCGCGATAGCCATGCCAAAGCCGATCTCCAGAACCCGTCCGCCTGCCGACAGAATAACCACCGGATAGCCGGCACGGTCACGCTCGGCAGGAGACAGCGAGAGACTCACAGCCCGAAGATTGCGAATTCAAATCCCGGTTGTGGGTTGACTCGGCCCATCATCCCTCCCGCCGGGGTCGATTAAATGAGATGTACCACTTGGTGCATAATTCAACAGCGATCTTCCCATGGACAGACCCACCCCCTGCAATAGGAATGTGGAATTTCCCCCAGTGGCTCTCCGCAGGTCTGCGAACAGGAAACGGCGCACACACCACTGCGTTGACTTTCTACTTTTTAACTTTGAGCCCGAGAATTAGAGGCCACTGAACGAGACAACATTCTGTGTGTACCGACTTGGGAGTGATCTTTGTGACTGACATGGAGTGTGCCGGCTGGCAGCGTCTGTGGCGACGGCTCGCAGGTCACACGGGCTCGGGTCATCGCGCCAGCGTTCCCACGTCCCAGAAAAACAACAACTTGCAAGGTGGCGAGTGGCCCCAACATTTGTGGGGTGCTGTGCAGGGCCCGATTAAGGTGCTTGTAGGCCCCTGGGCACTTCTGTTTCGTAGGCCGTCGGTGATAACTTTCTGCAGATGGTTACTGCTGCCCCATGTTACTACTGCCGTCGCTGTCACTCACTAAAGCCGATTTTTTTTAAAAAAAAGCTGTCTCCGATCAACCACAGGACCACAATGCCGCCGCCTTGTCTTCCCTTGTACTGCTCTCCGTTGAGAATGAGGTTGTGCGATTAACACCATTTAAAGATGTTCTTGCTCATTTTGCAATAAAAAAAATCTCGAAAAGTTAATCGCCGGTGTTCATTTCTCTCTCGCCTTATGGGAAAAAAACGATTGACACGACTCTGCCTCTTTGTACACACACTGCGCTTATCCTTGCTATGTATAAATATATTAACTCAAGAAATATATCCTGGTTACATTTTTTTTAAATCAAACAACAACAAAAAAAACGCGCTCAACATATTTGTTTTGCGTTGGCCCTTTTAGTTTTTCGTAGGCCCTAGTGTTGTTAGTAAGCACCTTTGGAGGCCGGCCGCCTTTGTCTCCCCAGTGCATATTTGTTATATACCCCCCACCAGGTAGTGATTTAAGGCTGAGTCTACCTAGAAGAATCGCATGACCAGTTCGGTTATTCATAACAGTTGGCCGAGAGGGGGCATCGGACTCTGGCAAGCGCACAGACGCACCCCCACGACGGCCTTCACTATTGAGGAACACGCAAGGCACGTGTGTCCATCACTCAGCGGTGACAGATGGACACTCATCGCACGTACGCACAGCTCTGCTTCTCTGTCTCCGCACGAATCAGAATACGATGCATTCCATCAGACTACAGGGACTCCTCCACTTACCGGACATTCGACTTACGAACTTTCAGAGATACGCACAAACTTGTCCGTATGTCCAGCTGGCTGTTCGGACCGAGAGTCGTAAGTTCAACCGCCGCGCAATAGATGGCGGTGATGGCATCTACATCTACAGAACGTGAAGAACCAGTGGCATCTACATCTACAGAACGTGAAGAACCAGTGGCATCTACATCTGCAGAACGTGAAGAACCAGTGGCATCTACATCTGCAGAACGTGAAGAACCAGTGGCATCTACATCTGCAGAACGTGAAGAACCAGTGGCATCTACATCTACAGAACGTGAAGAACCAGTGGCATCTACATCTGCAGAACGTGAAGAACCAGTGGCATCTACATCTGCAGAACGCGAAGAACCAGTGGCATCTACATCTACAGAACGTGAAGAACCAGTGGCATCTACATCTACAGAACGTGAATAACCAGTGGCATCGACATCTGCAGAACGTGAAGAACCAGTGGTATCTACATCTACAGAACGTGAAGAACCAGTGGCATCTACATCTGCAGAACGTGATGAACCAGTGGCATCTACATCTGCAGAACGTGAAGAACCAGTGGCATCTACATCTACAGAACGTGAAGAACCAGTGGCATCTACATCTGCAGAACGTGAAGAACCAGTGGCATCTACATCTGCAGAGCATGAAGAACCAGTGACATCTGCAGAGTATGAAGAACCAGTGGCATCTACATCTACGCAACGTGAAGAACCAATGGCATCTACATCTGCAGAGCATGAATAACCATTGGCATCTACAGAACGCGAAGAACCAGTGGCATCTACATCCACAGAACGTGAAGAACCAGTGGCATCTACATCTGCAGAGCATGAAGAACCAGTGGCACCTACATCTACAGGAGGTTATACAACTTTTAAAGCCATTCCCCGTATTTGGTGTCTATGCCGTACACCGTATTTGGAATCGACAAGAGCCAAATAAAGTTGGACTTACGAACAAATCGAATTACGAACAGGCCTCTGGAACCTAACTCGTTCGTAAGTAGGGGGGGAGAGGGGACAGAGAAGCCTTTCTCCAGCGTGAAAAATGTACCTTTGGAGCTGGCGACGGAGGCCAGCTTGTGCATGTATGGGGTCTCCCATCGCTCCATGACGGGTTTTCCCATGATCTCCAGATGTGTGTCTGTCTCATCGTAATCAGCACCCGCATCTCGCCACGACGACTTGCAGTTCTCTCCATCCGTGAAAATCCGAGGATCGGCTTCAGTGGCCATCATCGCCGCGTGCACATGTGGGGATCGAGCGGTGTGTGCCGCTCGGCTGCGGGATGGTGAATCGGCTCTGGGTGTCGTGGGTGGAGGGGAGGGGAGCTTGTTGGGGGGGAGACGAAGGGAGGAACAACGTGGCCTGCTCGGGACGAAGAGACCGATTCAGCAGCTGTGCGAAGATTTTAAAGGGACCGGGAATGTGGCACCCCACCCCCACCCTGTATAAATAGCTCTGACCCCACCCCACGACTCTATAAGGTTACGGGCCTACCAGCGCACGCCATGCAAGACCTCCCACCCCCAAGTCAATAATATGTGCAGGAGTCGAGTGTCAGCATAAAGCACTCATCTCGGTTCGAAGGGCAAACGTGTACATTATTATTATTACTACTACTACAGAATATTGTGCTTGGCATTTTCTCCACGTTCATCAGATTACTTGTGTATCAAGGAAGACGGAGATATATTTTGTTGTGAAAGCTGCAGTATGATCATGATCTATCCACTTCTGGATGAAAAAAAGTCTCAACGTGGCACGATTTGGGATTGCGTATTTGTAATTGTAACGAGTTACTTAACAATGATTGTGTGCACTACCAGATAATGTTGTCCCGACCGAGTTTTCATGAATAAAATTATTTATATGCCTCCTTGCGTTTTAAGACGCAAATCAAGTGCAACTCATTTCCTGCATAAATTATACAAACGTTGGTTGAAGTCACAACGTTGCAATTATGGCAGAGTAAGCTACCAACGAAAAGTTTGTTTAACCAAATGAGAACTCAAAAGGTGGAGCGAAAGTTGAGTTTGCAAGAGTCTCGGGCGAGATGTTGGGCAGCATAGAGAAGAACACAATTGCACTAGAATCGACCATGCTCAATCCACTGCTGGATGAAGGCCTCTCCAAGCCGCTACCACATCTCACGATTCTGCGGTGTGAACCATCCACGCAGCTCCTGCAGGCAAACTGATTTAATTGCTCCGTCTCCGTGGCGGATGACCGTCTTAGAACAGTAAAAGCAAACGTTTGAAGGGAAAGTCATCGGCATTCACATAACAGGCCACATACTGCTGATGAGACTGAGAAACACAAAACTAGCAGAGAGATTGCTGAAACTGCTGCTGCTGGAGGTCAATGGTACAGGAGGGCACGTGGATGAACAAGACTCAAATGTGAATTTATTTTTACCCAGTGAAACTGACCAATGTGTACTCGTTGGTTCTTTCGGTAAAGCCACGTAGGTAGAAAAATAAAACAAAATAATATATCACGACGTTTCGATCGCAACACGAGCAGTCGTTTCTGCCCGAGGACGACCGCTTGTTTTGCGATCGAAACGTCGTGATATATTATTTTATTTTGTTTTATTTTTCTACCTACATAACTTTACCGAAAGAACCAAAGAGTATGGATTCCTGCAGTCACGAAAGCTTCAAATCAAGATTGACCAATGTGGGTTGATGAAAACAAAGACCGTGCAGAGTTTTTCAGTGTCTACATTTCACTAAATAAAAAAAATACTTTATTCAACAAGAACATTCCATCGACACTGCAACGGCATTCCAACAATATTGCACCACATTAACCGCTCCGCACAACGGTGACGCATTATTACTACCATGAAACACAAACTTCCCAGAATGGAAAGCACAAAATTCAACAACAATAACATTGTTACTTTAACATATCAGTGTTCATCGATTTGGAAATAGCTTTAGCATATTTAAAACAAGAAACATAACATTGTATATTAAAACATTCAAGAGACCCGTTCTTAAAATGTAATTTAAATCAACCTCAAAAACTGTATCCATCCAGTGCCCCATTCAACGTTTGCCAATAAAATCTCCGTGCTTCAAGTCCGACTTAAAACGCACTCTGGCGCACAAAAACATCTCCAAACTGCAAGACTTCAGAGAAAGTAAAATCGGCCACTCTGTAAATACACGATCGTAACTTGCCATCGACTCAACATTCGCCCGCCAAAATAATCAATGCATGCTGCGTGGACGTTCTTCAAAGGGAAAAGAACACAAACGTATTGGCACATGGCAGGCAACCCACGGGTTGTAGGGGAAGAGATTTATAGGCAAAGTTGAACAAAAAACAAACATACATGCCGGCTGGAAAAAAGCCCCCGGAACGTCCACGAAGACAAACAGGGATAGATGCACATTCTGGGCGAGGGTAATTTAAAACCTGCCGACTCTAGCGTGTGGGTGTCCGTTGTGCCAGAGAGTCGCGAGAACACGACTTACTCTCGTTCACCACGTGGGTGAAACCCCAGTTCGTATCGAAACCCCTTCGTTTCTGTACTGCGTCTTCAGACGTACTGACAAGCTATCAGCCACGCTCAATGCACTGCTCGATAAAAACATCCCCAAGCCACCACCGTCTCTCTCAATCCTGTGATGTATTAATCCCGCCTTGTACCTACACAAGAGCCGATGTAAGTCGCTCCATCTCCACCGTGGACACCCCCTCAAGACACGTCCCATTCCTTGGCTGCCGCTCCGTTATCATTCTCGACCGTTGACCATCGTATCGTACAAATCCACATGGTATCCTATTGTAGATACGGGACACGTCAACAAGCGGAGACTGTTGGAGCTTCTTCTCAACCCGCCAGCCATGCAGCAGGCGTGGTAATGGCCGTGTCTCTTTGCTTAGCTCAATTCACCTCTCCAACGTTAAGGCAGACGGGGTCTTGTACGTATATAAAAATAAACATCACTATTGAATAGGTAGTAGGTTTTCGCAGCCATTACTGTTAATCAAAACCGAATTTTTTTTTTGGGTTGGGTCACAATGACTTGGACAAATTCATGGAGGAGGGTTTTAACGACATAAATGTAGCAAGATCATTGCATGGCCCACCCGATAAAAAAAATCAATGACTGCATATGTCCACAATGTTCGTAGGTGGAGCTCCCCAGCTATTGGCTCGTCAAGTGATCCGGGATTACTTAAACAGTGAGGTGTCATTTGGTAAAAAGTAGCAGCGACACAGAGTCAGCATATTGAGAGAGATGTGAGCAGATGGGACAAGGGGGCAGTGGAGAAACATCACAGCACAAAATGCACGTGTGTGTACACACGGAGAACAACGTAGTTACAAAATACTGTAAACACGGTAACAACAATATGCCTCCCTTGTCCATGGGTCTCAGAGCCATGCTAAGGCACCATCAATATTCAGAGGGTACAAAGTAAGATCTGTCAATCTCACGAAACTGGGGCTGGAGTGTAGTAGCAATAATAATGTCTTATGCACATGTGCTTCCCCAGCTCCATGGGTTCCTCACCAGTGTGGAGCACAGCACAACCAAATGATTGGTTGGAGAAACTGTGGTGGCTCTCTGGCAGATCCGCTAAAAGCCCCGCTTGTCAAATCTGAGATGCAACTACCGTGGAACAGACTTGGCGGGAACCGTTGACAACCACGCGGTGGGAGGGGGTGGGGGGAAAACACCGCCACGGACGAATAAACACATTTACAGCAAGAATTGTTAAAAAACACATTCGAAAACGCGAACGGCACCCACAGTGTAGGTACGGACAGGGTGGCGGCAGCGCGTGTCGTGTCTGCCACATTATCAGGACGTCGTGTACGAAATTCTCACAGCAGGCGCAGCTGCTGCACAACGTAATCATTGCGTACACCTTCGTGTTTAAAAGCAGCAATAAAACCAAATTACCACCGAATTTCAGCTTTGTACGATTCACGCTGCTTCTCAACAACATGCGGCCGGTTCACGGAGGAAAGGGAGAGATGAAGTGAACGGCAAAAGCGTTTTCCGGTCCGTGACGTTGCGGACCACCAGGGAAGCTCCCCACGTACTCACGTGACATCATCCCCACGAGCACTGGGAATTACTCCAGTCCATGACATTGTCAGCCTCACAATGTTTTTAGAACTGTATATCTTCCCTGGAGATACGTAGCGAGGACCTCGGACCTCAAGTGCACCGACAGGTTAGTGGAGAATGCCCCAGATTTGCCGATGCGATGGACGACATTTGTGAAAACATACGGTTCTCGTGATATGTAAACACTGCTTGAGGATCGGTCGGTATAATCTAACCGGGCACGCTTGTTATCCACTCATTCTCTCGTGTGTGACGCCACAACCACCACCAGTTAAAGAGGGGCACTCTTCACGTGTTAAATAATGTTCTGGTCATCAAACGAGGTGGTCTCAGACTTGCAAGTCTGCTGATAGTGCCGATTCAGGTTGCGTGCGAGAGAGTTCCTGTAGAGGGACGCCCGCTCTCCTTCCTTCCACACGATAATCAGCTGATCCGTCGAGCAGCTCGCCAAGCCGTGCTTCTCAAAGTCGAGCAGCATCTGCCGGCGGGAGGTGACCAGAAACAGACGGCCTCGTCAAACGAGCGGTGCGCCACGCGCAAGCCAAGCGCAGCGGCGAACAGCGGTGCCACAGCGGCACTGAAACCGGAGCCTAGCCAAATGTGCAACCTGCGGGCACGGCGTGAGTCGCACTTCAATATCCGTGCTGACGAATCCCTAAAGCGCAGCGCCGCCCCCCGCTTTCGTTTCCAAGCGTTGAGACTCGGCAAACTGGCACGGTCTACGGAGTCGGTGGGTACTGCTGGAGACACGAGAGTGGGCGCGTAGCCCCCCACCGCCTGCGTCTCCACCTGCCCACTCCGCCGCGGGTTTTCAAGTCGACCCAACTCTGCTTGTGGGTTCTCCAAGTCCACCCGGCTGTGCGTCTCGTCCCTCTCGACTGATAAACCCTCGCGCGTATATCGGTGCTCTACACTCTGAACGTTACGATTCCGTGCCTGGCAGGTTTTTTAGTTTTGAGGTTCAGACTGCAGCTTCAGTACAATGAAAATTCTTTAAATACTTTCAACTTCATAGAACTTCACCCGAATTGAATGGAGAGAATGTGTAATGCTGAAGGTCAAGAGGTCAAACATTGATCCTATTGCACTTATCCAATGCTCCCCAGGAGAAACAAAATATGGAACATTGCTATCAAGTGGACAAACAAGTTGTTCGTTATAAAAGTAAAACACACTTTCAAAGGTTGATGTGTGCAAATTATGTTTTGTAGGGACAGTTACCATTTTTAAACACTTGATTTGTGGGTTATATTATATCTGGGGTCCAATTCACATGCTTGTAAGTATTTATGTTCTGCCAGTTTTTCACGTGTGAACCTCACCACATGCGTCTACCCTGTGAAGCCACCACACGACAGCCAACGCTAGCACAGAACAAACAATCAATGGTACTTGGCAGATACCACGCAGCCAATAAGCACGCTGCGGCAACACCCCGCAGGAATTACCGAGCGGCAAACCGGAATCGAACCGACGGGGGCTAAGATCGTTATAAAAATCTGGCTAAATATCGCACGGCAATTTTCTACGAACCAGTGGTGTGAACGCACAGCCCGTATGGGGGAGGGGGGGAGGGAGGAGGGGCCGACTTATTGATTGAAGAGGGTAAAGGGGCCCCCACAGAGGCAGAAGAAGAGAAACAGGTGCAAGGGCAGCGGAAATGGAGAGTGACAGTTGGCGTCATCAAGGCGAGGAGATGGAGACCATACTTTTTGTTTTTTTCGGTAAAGTCACGTAGGTAAAAAATAAAATAAATTAAAATGAAAACAACTAAATTAAATCACGACGTTTCGGAAGCAACACAAGCCTCCGTCTTCAGGTGGAACCGCCACAGCAAAATTGCTGTAGTGAATAAAGAGAGCTGTTTAGAGAACCGTGATTCTATAGGGTAAGAGGGGTGGGGAAGAGCCAAGGAGTTTTTGATGGGGGAGGATTAGCTAATTAATAGTTAAGATAAGGGTAAGTGTAAGAGAAGTGAAGTAGCCAGGGCAGGGGGGGATTTGCTGATTCAGCAGATGTGAGTGTGAAGGCGATGGGTATTACCTTATTGTCGCGGGAGATGGGGACCGCATGGGAATGGATAGGGAGTGTGTGTGGAGGGGGGGCTGTGAATTCGGAGGGAAGTTGCTGATGAAGATGGCAAGACAGAAGGTATCAATCTGTCGATCATGCCACCAAGGCTATTGGAGTGAGGGGGGGGTAAAAAAAGGGGGCACAGGCTGTGGCATGGACATGGTGCAGGATAAATTTGGAATGAGCGGGGAGCTGGTACCACATTTTGGTGACAAAACAAATACTGTACACAACGAGAATTTTTTTTTAAGTGTCATGAGTGGGGCTAGGGTGGGGGGCAGGGCAGGTGGACCAGTTGTATTATAGATTTGGGGGGGAGACATGGGTAAGAATGGGATAAGTCAAGTGTGTGGGAGAGAGAAAGGAAAAGGTGGGAAGAAAAATGGAAATTATCTTTTCTTTAAAAAAAACAATGTCACTGGTATTGGCCAAACATCCAAATGCTGAAAAATGACCTCCAAATTATTCAATTGTGATTACACACAGCAGCATCGCCCCCTACTGCAGAAAACTTGGCAGGACCCTTCTAAAAAGAGTTGACTCAGTGAAGCTTTCTTGCGTAAACATACGTAGCAGCAGTAATATTGTCAATCCACAAGCAGTTATATATTGAATGGAAATGGCAAGTGTCAGGCTGCATGGAGGGTGTCCCTCTCTCACCTGCAGGGCGCCGGAGTGGCCAATGAGGTCCCCAACGAGCCCCAGCGACCACCGCTCAGATGCCGTCCTCCTGCGCGGAACTGGTTCCACATGGACCAGGCAGCGAGGAAAACAGGGAGAGGAGGCAGCTCGTGAAGGCCACGTGCAATGCAGAACATGCCAGCACCGAAAATGCCAATTCCTTTGAATTTTACCAACGACCGGTTATATAATACAGGGCGCTTAAAAAATTTTTTATTGTGCCTCCAGAGACCAGAGGCACATTTCTTATGGTATTGTTGCAAATTCTCAGAAGTGTTAACATGTTTTTTAAGCACCCTGTATACACAACCACTGCTCGCATCCATGCATTATTAATAATTCGTGCCGACAAAAATGTATCATTGCGTGAATGAGAATCTGCGGATCCATTTGTGAATGCGGATAACGGGGTGTGCAGGTCACGGGAAGAGCAACTCGGAGGAAGCTCGCCGTGTTTACGGGTTGAGCACTGGGTTGGCGTGTGTGAGACGGGCGCCGACGGCACCGACAGCATCACCCACGTTGCGTCGCAGCCGGCGAGTGGAGCTTCCATATGCGCGTGGTGCCATCTTCAGAGCAGCTCACCAGCAGGCCACTACAGGAACAGCCACACGAGCGCAAGCAAAGCAATCATCCCCCCGTGCAGCCTCCACAAGACTGTTGGGGCAAGTGCTGTTTGCGAGCGAATCTGTCCCGTGCCATCCATACTTCCTTCCGATATTAGGAAGCCAATGGAGCGATGCCCTTATAAATCTAGATTAAAAATAATTTCTTTAGAATCGTTTTTGTACATTGTTTGTTGTCCTTTCTCCGATTAGCACGGTTGGCTACGTACAGTGCGAAAGAAGTTCAACATACATACACACACACTGCGTTCAACCACCACACCGCAGGTCACAACACTTCTCTTTCTGCATCTTCCTTGTCACTGCTCCACTTTGGAATTCCCTCCCATCATTGCTTTTCCCAAAGCCCTTTGGTTTTTTCGGTAAAGTCAAGTAGGTAAAAAATTTAAATAAATGTAAGTAAATCACGACGTTTCGGAAGCAACACAAGCCTCCGTCAGCATTTACCTACAAGATTTTACCGAAACAAACAAAGAGTACGAATCCTTGCAGTCACGAAAACTTCAAATCCCTTATAATATTGCTCACTTTCAAGCACTGTAACAACTTTTGACAGCGCTGTTTATTTCTGGCCGTATGATTTCTTGGACCTTCGGGGCCTGTGCTCAGCACATGGCATTTTATCCCTAATGTTTGAACGGAGCAAGCGATGTTATAGAACCGTCTAAATCAACATGAAGATACAAAACGCGATTTTAATGTCCCAGCAGACGATGCTCGTCAAGACCACGACCGCCATCGGAGAGCGGTGCGTGGGCACCCCCGCAGCGCGTGTGTACCTCTTCTGCAGCTTGACGACTTGCAGCACCTGCGAGTTGTGAGCATTCCTTTGGCAGGCGACCAGTCTTTGCGACGTCAGATCGTACACGCAGATTCCCGACCCAACTGCTGCGAACACACACTACGCGACGCAGAGAAAAAACGTGAGGCACAGTTGTAACGCTATTACGGCGGCCGTCATGCCTCACCACTGCATTAATTTTCTCCGAAGCTGTCCATAGCATCACCTTTCTCTTCCGATTAATTGTTTTGGCACACTTGTTGACACCCTAGACATTTTGCTCTGTGAACTCCGTTAATGTTCGTATAAACGGTAATTATGGAGTGTCAATAAACAGCTGCTGGATGAGATATTTATGGAGATGCAAGGTACCTATATCTTTTTTTATTTCAACTCAATCCCATACATGTGAAGGAGTCTTGTGAAAAATATACAATGTTAAAGCCTCATCACAACGTCATTGTACTTACCACCAAATGTTCTACTATTTTGGGATGGTGCCGTGCATGGGGTTACTCCAACCTGTTCAAAACATAATGTAGCGACGCTCCAAATAACTCTCTGGAACTTAAATTTAGATTTAAAGCTTTCGTGACTGCAGGGATTCATCTTCTTGGTTCTTTCGGTAAAGTCACGTGTCTCCGGAACTTTCTCTGGCGGAGTGCCTTGCGCGCCAGCACTTTCATCTCGCGGCTTTTCCTAGGTATCACGGCCGACTGCGTACGGTGCGAGAGAAGGGCAACGTACCTGCGAGTCGGTTGATAGGTGGGCGATGCTGCACGGGTAGGCTTGGGAGCAGTGCGACTTCTGGAGCTGCGGGCTGATGGGTGCGTGCAGCGCCACCTTGCGATGCTCCGCCAGGTTGCCAGAGTTCCACAGGATGAGCTCGCCGTCCAGGGAGCCGCTCGCAAACCAGCCGCCTGCACGCACAACGCCGTCTCAATGTCACCACTCTCACCGCCATCACGGCCCTTTCAGTGTAGGCCAGTGGCCACGTGAATCAAGTGTCTTAACGGTATTTTCCTTTAGTTTTAGATGTTAATTAGTGTGAAGGGAGGGGACATTTCACCTTTTTCAAACTGTATGCAACTGCCTACAGGACTTATGTTTAATAATGGTGACGGCTTTTCAACGTTATCATCTAACTTGCACAATACTCGCCGTTTGATGGTTGTATTTAGCTATATTTCAATTAATGACGTTTGTCTATTCAAAATAATGTGTATATCCATTCTTCAATTTTGACGATTGTGTTTGCCTAGCCTATACCAAGGAGCCAGGACTTGACATCAAAGGTTCACCGATGTTGTTTCCGCTCAAGCAATGTGCATCTTGTATATATGTATGTATGTTGAACTTCTTTCACACCATACGTAGCCAACTGTGCTAATCGGAGGTGCGGGGGAAGGACAACAAACTAAAAAAACAATTCGAAAGAAATTAGTTTTCAAAACTAGATTTAAAAGTGCATAACTCATCTTGCAGAAAGTAAAGCCGGTCTCCTCAACTCTCACTTCTGAAGCAGCATGCGTTGAACTAGAGGCCAACTGGCCCGGTGGCGAGCGAGTATGCCAACCGGTACGTTACCCATCGTGCTACCCTGTAAGATAGATATCACGACGAACGAGAACTATACATCAGGCTCCTGATGCCCTCCGCACCAGACGTAAAAAAAAAACAGCCTCTTCTCATTAAATTATCTTGAGGCTCATGTCGCCCAATGCTTTTTTGAAGACGCAGTCAATATTTAGACACTTTGCGAATCCAAACTGCACTGCGAGTTGCTGTTGTTCTACGGTGAAAACGTCGGGTGGGTGTCCATTGAAGACGAAGACAAAGCCGAGTGGCGACTGGGCAGCCGGTCGCCTCTCGATCGCTCACCCTGCAGGCTCAGCAGGCTGTGAACGTGTTCCGCGTGGACCGTCAGCGCCTTCAGCTGCTGGAGTTGCCTCTGGTGGGGGGTTTCCTTGCCGTACTCCAGGCCGTACAGAACTGCGAGGGGCAAAGAACGGCAGGCAGCCAACCGCAGCACTCTAAGTCCGTGCTTGTGTTCATGACGATCTCACACGCGCACACGTATACGTATCCCGCAATGCAGCAGTCAATTCAAGTGGCCAATGCAAATGTGCTGTCGTAATTCTACTTTAAGCAAGATCCCAAGTTCAACGTCCAATTACCTACCATTATGATACGCAGAATGCCTGATCTGTTAACTTGCCACACAAGGCCCGAATGCCTATGTACAGTCAGATAGGAGGGGACCTGGATTAGAGAATCCAGTTTGTTGTAAACGCTAGATTAGATCGCAAAAGCAACACATGAGTTAATTTAGCCAATCGAGTACACTTACCGCTTTTTTCCCTTCAATTCGCTTGTAGGCCTGCACTGGACGTGCTGAGCTTTGTAGCTCCCTTTAACTGAATGTTGTTTTTTATGTATATAGAAATTCAGACACTTGCTTCCCAGAATGCTGTGCAAATTGGATGGAGATGACACTGGTCCCTTGTTGGTGAACGAGGTATAAACCGACAGCTTTGGTTGTTTCCCTTAATACGGCAGCTCAGTTGACAGGCAAAGACTTGCAATGTAAACTTTTGCTCAACATTAAAATGACACAAACCAAAATCAAATAATAATTTAAATATGCCATCACCTGCAAAAATAAAGTGACAGCAGCCAGCCAACACGAGAGTGAGTTCACACCGACCAAAAGCCACGCGCTAGCACCTTAGCCACCGACATGCAAAGCCAAAGATCCTCATGCAGCCTACCAAGGATAGGCTGTTGGGGCAAGTGCTGTTAGCGAGCACCTATGAAGACCGGCACGGCACAGGACGTGGTGGGTGGTGTTGCGAGCACCATCCTCGGCCGCCTTCGTGCTGAAGCGTGCGTTACCTGCCGTATGACCAGGGACGTTACCTGTGGATTATCTAATAAAAAGACCTTTGCTGAACACGGCGTGAGCTGAATCCTTCCCTCCAGTGGTGATGTTTACACAATGTACAAGATACTCATTTAAGGCGGAGTGAATCTAGGGGAAGCTTAGGACTGGTACGGATAATCATCACTGATGTCGTGGCCGCAAATCGGGTTTGTAGTGCAGTGTGCTAACCATGTCACCACTCCTCACCATTTATACTCACACAAAAACAAATATCTCCCGTATAGCCTTAACAGACTTCTGGGGCAGGTGCTGTTAGCGAGCACCTATGAAGGCCGGCATGGCACACGAGGGGGTGGGTGGCTAGCACCTGCCCGACCACCTTTGTCTTCCTAGTAGAAATGTTTTACCCCACCAGGTACTCATTTGAGGCTGAGTCAACCTAGAGGAGGCCACAGGACCGATTCAGATAATTCTCACCAGTATTTCCCATGAGCGGGAATCGAAGTTGGGTCGCCGAGTTTGATTATCACCTCCAATTAGCACGGTTGGCTACGTACGGTGCAAAAGTAGTTCAACATGCATACGTACGTAGCGCAGCACGAACCATGTATTCACACGCGCACTGCTTCACCGACACCCACCACGCACTGCTGTACACCATCGTTAGCACTGCTGCAGCCATGGGGGAATCCACGTAGCAATAGGCATTCGGCAAAGGTGACAGATTGGCCTGAATGTGTCGCCTCAAACTCAAGCTGTAAGAGAGCAGAGCTCCGAGCACTCACCTAAACATTTGCCCATTGCAGCCGCGATCAGGGAGTCTTTAATGCGAATCAGCGAAGACACCTCTGCCAAAAGCACCGCAGCATCCGTCATGAATTCGCAGGCATGTTATATATTGTACACAACGCAACAATCTAGTTCTCGTGTTTAATAGCCATACCATAAATCTCGTGTTTTCAAACTTACTTATTCACACCTCTAGGTACAAAAAAGGATGAACATACGCCATTGTGTGCATAATTTAAGACAAATGCCAATTTAAGCAATGTTAAATTTCCCTTCATTTTTGACCTATGAAATCTAAATCAGGTAGAACCGACAATATTAATTGATGGCAAAGAGAGAGTAAAGTCAAACTGGCTCAACCAATGGGGTGGTTTTCTTCTGTAATGGTGGCTCTGAGTCAGTGATAAAAATTCCACATTCCCATGGTAGGGGCCAGTTCCAGTAGATGTTCTTAATCCATTCGGCAGACTGAATGGCACGTAGATTGTATCCCGTGCACATCCAAATGCCACACACCAGATTATAAGATGCACCCTCTCCAAACTTTCGCTTATACAATTGAAAAAAAAAGTGCGCGTTATAAATCCGGAGAATACGTTTTCCTTGTAAGACATTTGAGAATATGAAGCTCTGTGGAGCTTGTGGAGTAAGCGTGGCGCACCTTCTTGACGGTGGGTGGACACTTTTGAGAGCAGGTTCCCATCCTGGCTCCACAGCAGCAGGTACTTCCCGCCAGCCAGCCAGAGAGCCTCTTCTCTCAGCACCAGCAGACACTGGCAACACAAATCACAAATACAGGAAAAACTTTTGCCCAACGCGGCTTTAGTCGAATGCATGCATCAGCACGGGGGTGATGTTTCGGCTCTACGCGGGGTTTGACACTGCTAAGATTCTGCATTGAAAGGTAGTGCGCCGTGGGAGTGCTGCATCCGTTAGAAGGTGTGACGGAATCCACTCTCTGAGAAGGATTTATTTGCCACGTACGTTTTTGTGTGTGTATGTTTTTTCGTGTGATAATGTAACACACTCAACACGCACAATGCACATGTTCACACGTTGCCGCGTGCATGTAGTCGTCAGCTCGTTGAGGACGTTAGGCAGATGGACGCCTATATTGCGAATCATTAACATTCAATTGAAAGTGTTAAGGGCGATCATTGGGCTGTGAATTTACTGTCAGGGGAGAGCATTTGGCACGAGTGCCGCGGTGCTGGAAGCATCTCTGGGTAGAAAAATTGTGCAGTTTATCACTCAAGTTAATCGATGCAACGGACTACTGGACTGTGGAGGGGAGCGTGAGGAATCAGGTTTGGTGAAAAACTGGGTTGAACAATGATTGTACGCACAGGGAAACACATTGCCAGCTGTAAATAGGCACTTACCTTGACCGAGATGAGAGATCCTTCGGAGTTGGAGATAATCTTTAGAGGCTGTCCCGTGCTGATATCCCACATCTATCACAACTGGTTAAGGATAGAACTTGTGACCATCATCGTCACAATGAACCACATTTCTCGACGTCCGCCATGAATCACATGAAATGCAGCCCATCTGGTTAGACCTAATAAAGCTAGACAGGACATATTATTGGTTATTTCGGTAAAGTCACGTAGAAGGGAAATAATCAAGAACCAAGAATATGAATCCCTGCAGTCACGAAAGTTTTCAATCGAAATCTAGACAGAACAATTATAATTATAAAATTTTACTAAGGAAAGCCTCACCAAGCCTCAAAACTCTTTTCAGAAGGGTACTTTTCGGTTTCTCAGCGGAAGACAAACATGATACGTGTTTTCCGATTGATAAATTTGCGGGTATTTTTTTTCAAACTTGGCCAATATGGACCACGACGCTGGTACGCATCCAAGCTTGCGAGGTGCTCTGATGAGTGACCACCATGTGCATAAAACGGAAATCGTAGATATTACGGGCAGTGCAACAAAATCCATTATTCTACACTGCCCCCCCCCCCCCATCTTCACCAGCCCGCACTGACCAGCATTGTCAAGTACTGTATGGTTAAATATCCCTTACTGGCCCCGCACGACATTGGGAGGCTCTCAAACAGCAGTGTGCGCGTACATAACGCAAGAGAGCTGCACGATGTGACACTGAGGTTAATTAAAGCCTGACCAGGCCTGAGATGTGTCCTACATTCACATCAGGGGGCCAATAAACATAGGCCAAGCAAAATGTGTCTGCACAAATGTTCAAATTTCGAAAATAAGCCATCTCAGATTGAAAACATTGGATGAAAATGGTTATAAATATACGATAAAAAGTCCCAACAAATATTTTATATTCAGGCTTTTCAGGTCTTGCTTGGGATATTTGAGTCTTGGAATATTTTTGCATATGGGATGAAACAAAGTTCCCAGAGATACCTCAGTCATCTCCGCACAATAATACAGCTCTGCATGGTCCACCAACCCTCCATCCAAGTCACTGCCTTACAAGTACGATACGGGCATCTGGCTGTGTCAACTCTCGGCGTTCGCCGCACGGCACAGGATACGATGATGGTTTTGTCGGAGGAAGCAGTGAGGAGCACCGTCGAGTGAAGCTTGTGAATTTCCGGGTCACCTACAGCGGTTGACAGCACAGTCATGGCGGTGATGGGACGCGAGTGGCCCTGACACACGTGCATCTTCTCCCCGCTCTGTGAACAATGCCAAAACACAAAGATCCCCCATATAGCCTTAACAGACTGTTGGAGCAAGTGCTGTTAGCGAGCACCTGTGAAGGCCGGCCTTTGTCTCCCCAGTGGCAATGTTCACACACCGCACCAGGTACTCATTTGAGGCCTAGTCACGCTAGGGGAGGCCCAGGAGTGGTTCGGAAAATCGTCACTGGTGTTGGCCGTTAGCAGGAATCGAACTTGGGTTGTCGGGTTCGAAGAGCAGCGCGCAAACCGGTACACTACCGCTGCCAAACACAATCACCACGAGCACACAACGTCTGATGGGGCTGGTCAGGGTTACACAAGCAAAAGTGTCTGCTGACTAAAGACGGGCGATCTCAACGATCTTGCTAGTTTACGACTCTGCGCGATGGTCCCAGGCTCACGGGGGGAAGATGGCTCTATGAGAGAGGATCGTGGCCCAGGACCGTTGCTGGCCCTGAGTCTGTGTGTGTGTAACTGTGAACCTGTGTGTGTGTGTGACTGTGAACCTGTGACTATGAACCCGTGTGTGTATGACCGTAACCATTTTAGTGACCGTGAGCCTGTGTGCATGACCGTGAGCCTCGTTATACACACACACACGGCTTAATTCACACTGGTTCATTATGGGTGATCTTCAAGAAGCAGGTAAGCCCTTTTCACTGCTGCACCTATTACCCGTTTGGGGCCAGGGGTTTAGTCAGGTGGGGCGGGGCAACATGACGATGGTAATTTACAAAGTTAAAATGTTTAGGCCGAACGAACCCCGTGGCGAGCGGTCCTCGTCTAGATCACCGGCAGGGAGCGCGACGCTTTTCGTGGGGACCAATGGTGAGACAAGGACTCCATCCCACCAGTAAAAACATCGTGGAAAGCCTCACGGTCCGAGCTGGGACCTACCCACAGACTTAATCTTTACTCACCTTCACGTTCCATATGATGACCCTGCAGTCATCACCCGCCGAGGCAAACCTGTGGAAGTCGTAGAGGTTGTAATCACCCCACAATAACCAACTGGATAACGCATGCTGACACAATCTGACATGCGCCCTTGCTATAACTCAACACAAAACTCAACACCAATATCTAGAGATGCGTGAAGCTCTCTGCGCCATAACGACACCAACTCCGGATTCCAGACAATAGATGAGCACCAGAGGCACGTTTGAGATTTGCAAAGAAATTTTTTTTTAAAACAGTCGGGGGTTTACTTTGTGTCATCATTTACAAGGCACACTCATACATTACACCCTCAACAGTGTTATTTGTTGCAGGCCACTTGTTGTTTCGGTTCTTTGGACCTGTGCTCAGCAAAAGTGATTACAATCAACAATACAATAAGCGGTTTCAGAAAATGAAAAATTATTTTATTTCCATTTTAGTAATTCCTTCACCAAACCTCTTCCAAGACATCCGATTAGCACGGTTCGCGACGTACGGTGCGATATAAGTTCAACATACATACATGGAAAAGTATACCAAATCCCTTGTGAGGCCCATCTTTTAGCAGCGGCGTGAACAAGACATTACAGCGCTGCACCTTGACCTTCAACCAAGTGGCCGAGAGGGATTCGTGTGACACAACACGCTGCCACCGCGACCCTCACCAGGGTCAAGTGGACTGAGAAACAAACAAATGAACGAACAATTGCTGCGCATGCGAGCCATGTGAAGGGGAGGCATGCGTGCTGTGCAGACCACCGGCACGGTTTCACTTTCTTCCTACCTGTCGTCATCCAAGCGAACCAAGAGACGCACGATGTCTGTGTGTCCGGCCAGAACCTGGAGCTCAGTAAATGGATTCGATGGCTGCTCATCACTAATCTCCGGTACCTGTGAACGCAGTACAACAACTTGCCACAAGAATACATGGCGCACCCAAGACATCTGCACGGCACTGTGTAAGGCAATAGCGCACAGATAAGTACACGTGGGAAAACGGCAAGACGCACACAATACATTGCTCCAAATGACATTCACTTGAACAGAGTGATTTTTGTTTCAAGAATACCCACAGCTCTGAAGGACCAAGTAGTGAGAATTCACCCAGACAATCTTACCTTCTCAATCTATATTCTAGAAGCTTAGCATAAAAGCATTTAAAAAAATATCCACAACAATAACAATGCGTCCTATAGAATGTGCATGCAATAAACCCTCCAAAATATTGACGTACACAGCATGTATGTTGAACTTCTTTCGTACCGTACGTAGACAATCCGTGCTAATCGTAACTAGTAGCCTCATTAATACAATTTTACTCTCAATTGCGTCTCATATTACGATGTGTAAGGGTTAACGTATTTGCCATTGCCCAATGTCCTGCCCTTTCCATCTCTTCCCCCCTCCACCCCAACAACATCGTTGTCACTAAAACAGGCCGAGTTTGCGCGATAGCAACTTGCGCGCAAAAAAAAAAGACCTGGGACTAGCGATGGCCCTGTGGCTGAATGTGACCCTGCTTTAATTATTATTATTAAATATACAGCATTAACTTTAGTTGGGGGTATGAACCACATTTCACCCATGGCTAGCGTATAGTGGTTTGTGGCCATGCCGGTGAATGCGGGTTGCGGATGCTTCTTCTGAAATCGCCGCAGGCCACCCGCGGTCCCCACTCCGGGATGTGGCGCGGGTGTGCGGTGAAGCGTCCGCACCTCTTTGCTCTCCACCGCGTCCCTCTTCCCCACCAGCCAGCTCCACATCCTCCTGACAAGGCCATACGACAGCAACAATGAGCAGGTAATATGCTAACTAGGTCATCCCATCTTATTGGTTCTTTCGGTAAAGTCACGTAGAAGGGAAATAATAAAAGAATAAAAATAAAACGTAATAAAATACAATTCTCACGACGTTTCGACCACAACGCAAGCAGCCGTCCTCAGGTGAAGATAAAATACTATTCTCACAACGTTTCGGCCACAACGCAAGCAGCCGTCCTCAGGTGAAGATAAAATACAATTCTCACGACGTTTCGGCCACAACGCAAGCAGCCGTCCTCAGGTGAAGGCGTCTGCTTGCGTTGTGGCCGAAACGTCGTGAGAATTGTATTTTATTATGTTTAATTTTTATTATTTTAATATTTCCCTTCTACGTGACTTTACCGAAAGAACCAAGAAGATGAATCCCTGCAGTCACGAAAGCTTTAAATCGAAATTTAGGTCATCCCAGTTTGTCATCCATAAGCGTTTTTTTGGGTTAGGAAGGACAACATCAATGGGCTTGCATAATGGGCTTGCATAATGTACGTTGACTCAAGAGTGCAGAAGTGTGGTCACGACATCTACGCCTCTATATAAGGAACGAAACATGTGAACTTCTTCCCAAATCTGGCTGTCGCCTGATGAAGCTGTTTGTAATTACTGGCGAAACGTCGTACTCAAGATTGTAAATGTTGTGGCTTGGCTCTCCAACACACCGGTTAGTGCTGTACTAGTACACTACACTATACACTACACTATACACTACACAATACACTACACTACTATACACTGCACTATACACTACACTATACACTACTATACACTACACTACTATACACTACACTACTATACACTACACTATACACTACACTACTATACACTACACTACACACTACACTACTTTATAATATACTACTATACACTACATTACTATACACTACACTACTATACACTACACTATACACTACACAATACACTACTATACACTACACTACACACTAGTGCTGTACTAGTGACGAATTGGGCACGTTCTGTTTACGTGACAACCCTTACTAGTTGGCTGTGTCGGGTGGTGGTGGATTTAACGACACATTTAGATATTTACGTGATCTAACCCAAAAAAAACTCTTATAGGTCACCCCATAAGACAAAGACCCCCACTCCCCGTATAGCCTTTAACAGACTGTAGGGGCAAGTGCTGTTAGCGAGGAGCACCTATGAAGGCCGGAACGGCACACGAGGGGGTGGGTGGCCAGCACCACACCCGACCGCCTTTGTCTCCTCAAGTGTCGATGTTTTACACACCGCACCAGGTACTCATTCGAGGCTGAGTCGACCCACACACACACGCCACCCGCATCATAACACACCATGGAGGGCAGAATGGATGGGATAATAAAACCCTGTGTTTACAGTCTCATCTGGGTCAAAACCACACGCGGTGTGTGATGTTATAGCGAGAGGCGTTTTATTTTTACACGCTTTTATTTAATTCACTCTGTCTGTTGTTGTTGTATCCTCAAATCTTGTAACTCAACTTGAAACATCTTAAAGTGACTATGTAACTATGTGCAAACAGAAAATCCAGGAAAAGACAGCAAAATATTCCACAAAAAGCACCAACGCTGTGCAAAAATCCCAATGGGATGCAAATCAAACAACAACAACCACAAGACAACTTAGATTAAGGCCATCAGTCTAACTCCGTACTACAACAACACAAACATGGCCAAACCATGTCGGGTGGTGGAGGGTTACGACACATTAATAAATAACGCGATCTAACCCAAAAACCTTTGTTATGACTAATATTGGTCGCGAAAGCCGACGTGTTAAACTAACTTAAAAGTGGTAAAGTCACGTAGGTAAAAATAAAAATTAATAATAAAATAATTGAAATAAAATTATGAATCACGACGTTTCGGAGGCAACACAAGCTTCCTTCATCAGGTGTAAAAAGGCACAGGTAAATGACTAGTTATTTTAGTTATTGTTTTTATTTTAGTTAGTGTAGTTATTTTGCTGCCTTTATACACCTGATGAAGGAAGCTTGTGTTGCCTCCGAAACGTCATGATTTATTATTTTATTTCTATTATTATTGATAATACTTTATTATTTATTTATATTTTTACCTACGTGACTTTACCGAAAAACCCTAATAGTATGATTCCTTGCAGTCACGAAAGCTTCAAATCTATAATTAACTTAAAAGTGGTTGACGATACGGTCAGACAGGTCGCGTTGCATGTCCCCCCAGCCGCCCCGTCTTTTCCCCCTCCCCCCGTAAGCAGAGTTATATCCCTAAACTCTCAAGGCGACCGACTGCCTTCATCATCCAGCAGTGGACAACCCCCACGGCCCATGTTGATGAGAGTGGCTGCGGCTCTGCACGTCCACGTGTCATCGTGGGCTTCATGGGCCGGTCGCACACAAACACACACACAGGGGTGGTTTGGTCAGAACCACACCCGGCCGCCTTTGTCTCCCCAGTGCTGGTGGATTACTACACAACCGCAACAAAAATGGTATTTCGTTTAAGCAGCGGGCACACACACACACCTGAGGCTCGCTCTGCGAGGTGCAGCAGCAGAAGAAGAAGTCGCAATGACCACCACCGACTTACAATGAACAACAACAGCGGCCGGGCAGCCGCTACTGTCCGCACTGTAAACACGTGAGCCATGTGACGTCACCACGACGCGCGGCTCCCCCTCTCTCCCCTCATCCCCCTCTCCCCCACCCCCCTCTCCCCCACCCCCCTCTCCCTCACCCCCCGCCCCCCTCTCCCCCACCCCACTCCCCCCCGCCCCCTCACCCCCCTCTCCCCCACCCCCCTCTCCCCCACCCCCCTCTCCCCCACCCCCCGCCCCCCTCTCCCCCACCCCCCGCCCCCCTCTCCCCCACCCCACTCCCCCCCGCCCCCTCACCCCCCTCTCCCCCACCCCCCTCTCCCCCACCCCCTCACCCCCTCTCCCCCACCCCCCGCCCCCCTCTCCCCCACCCCACTACCCCCCGCCCCCCTCTCCCCAACCCCCCTCTCCCCTATCCCCCTCTCCCCCACCCCCTCGCCCCCCTCTCCCCCGCCCCCCTCTCCCCCACCCCACTCTCCCCCGCCCCCCTCTACCCCACCCCCTCACCCCCCTCTCCCCTACCCCCCTCTCCCCCACCCCCTCTCCCCCACCCCCTCACCCCCCTCACCCCCCTCTCCCCCACCCCACTCCCCCCCGCCCCCTCTCACCCCCCTCTCCCTCACCCCCCTCTCCCTCACCCCCCTCTCCCCCACCCCCTCTACCCCACCCCCCTCTCCCCCACCCCCTCTCCCCCACCCCCTCTACCCCACCCACCGGAGACCAAATAAAAATCCATTCTACGGGGGGTTTTGTGTGGGTTAGATCGCGTAAATACAAATGTGTCGTTAAAACAGGAGGATGTCTCCACAAATCTGCCTGTCCGCCTGATGATGCTAGTCGTAATTACTGGCGAAACGTCGTACTCAGATTGTAAACATTGTAGTTGGTTTACTAGTGACGAATTGGCACGTTCTGCTTACGTGAGTGACAAACCTTAGCAATTGGCTGTGTCGGGTGGTGGCGGGTTTAACGACACATTTATATCTACGCGATCTAAACACCCCCCCAAAAAAACCCTGTACTACTTACGTCTTAAACGTTTTGTAAAAAAATCATGTAATTAAATATATATTTTTTTAAATGTTTTTTAACAAAGTGACCTCTTGACCCGGAAGTTGCGACGCTTGAGCCGGAAGCGCCCGGCCCCTGCTGCTCCGGCTACGGAAACCCCCTCCACGACGACCGCCGCCATCTTCAGTGGGGATTCGTGAAGGCGAACAAGAGGCGAACGGGTCCCCGACCCCATCTCTCTCTCTTCTCGCGCGCGCCGTCCGTGGTGGAAGCGTGGGATCGCGTCAATACAGGCGTCGAAAAATCGCGCAGACTTCGCGGCGTCGCGGCCGCCCCATCAGCGCGCCATGCACAGGGACGATGGCTCACCAGGCGGGCGATGAGATCGGGTGAGCGGAGCGCGTCGCCAGAGTGTGGGGAGAGCCTCAAAATGGCGGCGCGAAGGGCTTCCCCCCTCTCTCTCTCGCTCACCACGGCGGGAGAGAGACTCGAGAATTGTTTTTTTTTACCGATGGTTTGCTACTATTGCTGTTACTAACTAGCGTTACCGACGGTGTTAAGTGCCGTCGTGTTGCGTCGGCCCACTGTCGTGTTTCAGCCCTGTTGCTATTGTTAGCCGCGTGACCGCGTTTCGAGGCGGTTGCCTGCGATAAATGCCCACATAAGTCACTTTAGTTTGAGCAATCGTTCGTGCCAAAGCTCGCTTCTCAAATATCTCGGTGGGTCTCAACCTGATAAAAAAAATAGTTGGTACTATTTCACTGGGTTATTAATACTACCGTGATTAATTTTCCTTTTGAGCGTGTTATATTACTGCTGCTACCGGCGTTAACTGCTATGGCGTGTTACGTCTATCACTACCGTGTTACCCCTGCAGTTGTTACTATCAATACTCGACCGGTGCTTATATCTCGTTAAAGAGTATTTGCGATACATTTGCCACACGTTAAGCCGTCTCGTTGAGCTATCATTAGTGGCCAGGTCGCTTCTGAAAAAGCTAAATAGCTCAGTGGGCCTTAACCTGGTAAAATAATAAAGAGTACTTTTACTGGGTTATTAATACTACCGTGTTAATATTTATGTTCGTTGTATTACTGATAACGTGTTACTGCCATATTCCGTATTGTGTTAATCCTACTGCTTTGTGTAATTATTCCCCTTACTAGGTATTATAACTTTTGTAGATTATAGTACATCTTAAGCAGTGTTTCAAGCTGCTTTGCGTTTTGGGCCCGTGGTCACGGTTAACGTGATTTAAAAACAAGTTCGTCATTTGTATATTCGTCAATACGTACGGGTTCATTACTACAACCACTGGTTAACAATGTTCTTAATGCGCACCGACTAAAGGTTACGTCTATTACACGATGCTTAAGGCTGTCTGTTCATATTGAATGTGTGTAGTGAAACGTATGCTCTTAGATGCGGGTGAAAAGAGGATCTAAAACAGCATTGTGACGATGCGAAACTATTCGTGTTAACGAACACGCAAAACCTGAAATGCCCCTTGTGAGATGTCCCAGATTAAGATATCGGACATCTATCTACTGGAGACTTAAGTTTTAGCCGTCCCTAAACTAATTCCCTTTCCCCCCGTAATTATATAACAACTTTAATGGTTGAAGAATTGACATGAAAAAACATCTTAAAGACCATAGTCTTCGGGGACGTTACCTTGTTGGCTGTGGGTTCAAGAAAAAGTTTTAAGTTCAGCGAGAAACAAAGCGGCTTGGTCTGCAGCGATTGCGAGATATCCACCGTTACTCTTGTTTTATATATATTTAGATACTCTTAGGTTTTTTCGGTAAAGTCACGTAGGTAAAACAATAATAAAATAAAATGATAATAAATGAATAACTAAATTAAATCACGTTTCGGAAGCAGCACAAGCCTCCGTCATCAGGTGTAACTGCTCCAGTAATTTAATTTATATTTAAAAAACACGTGTCTTGAATAGCTCTCTTCACACGCTAGTCATTTTACTGGAGCAGTTACACCTGGCTTGTGTTGCTTCCGAAACGTCGTGATTTAATGGAGTTATTTTCATTTATTATTATTTTATTATTTTTTACCTACGTAACTTTACCGAAAAAACCTAAGAGTATTAATCCTTGCAGTCACGAAAGCTTCAAATCTAGAATATATTTAGATATTTTTTTTGGGTGCGGGGGACAATTTCAGATTTTGTGATCGTTTTTTTGTTGCATAGCGCGATCGTTGGCCGAGTGTGTGTGTGCTAACAAAGCGAATCGACTCGCTAGCCACCACGTGTCTCGTTTGGCGGGAAGACGGCGGGGATGTCGTTCTTAGTGATTGCACGGCCCCATGCCACGAGGTCTCCGAAATAAGATTATTACTAAACCACGCCTCCTACTACTGTTTGGTATTTGCACCAAAAATGTATACAAGACACGATAACTCAATGTGTTGTTGTGTGATAGCTTTATTGAACCTGAACCAGGCCGTGGCGACAATCCTTCCCATCCCCTCCCCCACTCGAGCTGTGTTTCCAGGAACAACCGCCGGGTGACCTCGTGGAGGTTGAGAGCGCGTTCTGAAAGCCACCCGAACCTGTTTTTCTCTCTCTGCACTCACTATATTGTCCTTCTTGGGGGGGGGGGGTACAGATTTTATTTAAACGCCACAGTTCGCGAAAGCATTAGGCTCAAAACGGCCAAGTGCTGTAGAATAGATGAGTAACATTTATCCATAAATTGAACGACGTTTGTTCCTATGAGAGCTTGGGTCAAAGCAAAATTAGACGATGGGAGGATGGAAGATGCACCCAACATAGTTGTTGGAAGCGATGGTTTCCAGAGTGAGGCTTGCCCTTGTTGGGGAGTTCTAACCGAGCCAGGCCAGGCCTTGCTTCACTGCCTCGCACTAATTCCTGCGGTTGTGGTTTGCTACAGTCGTCATCTGCACAGCAGTTAGAAGGGCTTTGAACTGTTAGCGAGCTTTATTGTCCTTGAAGGAAGATTAACCAGTTTAGTGCCTTATTCGGGGTTTGTCAGAGTAATACGTGGTGGAGTGGAATTATTGGTATAAATAACCAGTGTGATGTGATAATATAGCCGGGCACACTTGAATATACGTTGTTTAATTGACCAGAATAATGTCAAGGACTGTACATGAGGCGCCATGTGCTACTGGCTGCCATAATTGATTTATAAAAGCACACGAATGTAATATTTGTTTAGCAAATGGTCTAGTGAAGTCTTCTTTACACTGGTAATATATCTTGGTTCGTGTGCAGGTGCATCTCAGAACAATGAATCCAGCAGTGGCTAATGATTAATATTTTACACGGACCATGCTTGTGAACATAAGTAGAACGTGCGAAATACACAGTGCAGATCTAATTGAGAGTTGTGTATGGTCTGCAAAGACTTGCATATATGCAATAATAACCTGCATACATGATGCAACCTACACTACTTGTTTTATTTGAAATGTTTTTAATGTTTATTTTTTTTACTGCAGGAAACTATTTGTTGGCGGTCTGGACTGGAACACCAGCCAAGGTGGGATTTTAAAAACACCTCAAAATAAAGCTCGGGCAGATATAATTGTATAGTATGACACACCGATGTGATTTGTAAACGGAAGTAATGAAATCTAAATTCTTCTCACTTGAATGGTGGAAATAAGAGCACGATTGCTCAGACAGATAACCATAAATATGCATTGAGTATTGCTGGTACTGTTAAATGGCTTTATATTTCCGTGGTTCAAGTATGCATGTCTTGTAGGTCATATCATACACACATAATTCAATATTTGCATTGGATTGCCTCGTAGATTGCGTACTCGTAACAATTGAGGCAGGATTGTAATATATGTTACTAATATCAATGGTCATAACCTAAACCTCTTACTGCTGCCCAACCATCCCAGAATCAGCGTTTTCTATTATGTCAATTGGAATGGGCCATGCGACATGAATTGAAGTGCAGACTACACAATCTATAATATTGAGTTGAGAATGCTCAATATGGTCTAGTGGTAAACTCCTGTTATCTGTAAATTATTTGACACCATGCCCACAATCCCAGATAAGAGGAGTTATGCTAAAAAATACAAGTTCCATGACCCATTGTGAAGAGGTTATAGAAGTGTGGTACAATGTCGTGTGCAGAGCGTCACCATGTTTTCGCTTGTCATTTCAACAGAGGGACTGCAAATGTACTTCTCGCAATTTGGGGAGGTGATCGACTGCGTCATCATGAAGGACAAGGAAACGAATCAGTCCCGTGGTTTTGGCTTTGTCAAGTTCAAGGATCCCAACTGCATTGGCATGGTGCTAGCCAACAGACCTCACTGCCTCGATGGCCGTACGGTGGGTCTGCCGGACTGCTCCTGTCCCCTCTACGCGTCATTCCAAAACACCACCTTTATTTTAGCTGAGATCTAAACCATTTTTCTATAACCTTCAACATTTATTGTCATGAAAAGTATTGTTTTTCGACGACGGGTACATTGTTGCTACGTGCTACGAAATCGTCTATTGAAATGTGTGATCTATGTTACTCAATTGGGATTACAAATAGTATTCGTCGCCCCCTCATTGCTGTTTACATAGCTGGTCCTGAGTGACCTTGTGACCACGGATATACGCCACTGGGAGTGCCCTTAAAATTGTTTGAGATGTGATTTATTGTAAAGCACTTTTCAGATGACCCAGTATATATGGTGCTATAATCAACTATATTATACAGTAATTCCTCATTTAACGTGGTTGATGCGTTCATGAAAAGTGCGAGGAATATCTGTAATGATTTCCATTTGCGCTATAAAATCAGCCTGCAGTCATCCTACGGCAGGACAAAGAACTCGGGAGGATGGTATGCCGTGTCCCAGAATTCCCCCATACCGCTCAGCCGCGCAGCTCAAAAAGTTTTTGGTCGTCGACCGAACAGAAAACCGTGTTTTTTAACAGGGCACATTCTGCGTTGAGCGAAAAAGTGTAACCGAATAGAAGAACCGCGTGTGTTCACACACAAGGCGGAAACGCTTTGCGTGAACACACGTTTAGGGAGCACTTAACGTGTTTAGAATATAGTCAATATTTATTCATGACTGTCTTTATTTCTTACAGATTGACCCCAAGCCGTGTACACCTCGTTCCATGCAGACGCCCAAACAAAACCACCAGGAGGTAGGTCCCTTGCATGGCACTTTTCATTTCATTGCACTTACTGTGGATAGGAGTTCGCTCTTGTGCATTAAGCAAGT